CCCTACCCTACCCTACCCTACCCTACCCTACCCTACCCTACCCTACCCCTACCCTACCCTACCCTACCCTACCCTACCCTACCCTACCCTACCCTACCCTACCCTACCCTACCCTACCCTACCCCTACCCTACCCTACCCTACCCTACCCTACCCTACCCTACCCTACCCTACCCTACCCTACCCTACCCTACCCTACCCTACCCTACCCCCCTACCCTACCCTACCCTACCCTACCCTACCCTACCCTACCCTACCCTACCCTACCCTACCCTACCCTACCCTACCCTACCCTACCCTACCCTACCCTACCCTACCCTACCCTACCCTACCCTACCCTACCCTACCCTACCCTACCCTACCCTACCCTACCCTACCCTACCCTACCCTACCCTACCCTACCCTACCCTACCCTACCCTTTTTTTTTTTTTTTTTTTTTTTTTTTTTTTTTTTTTTTTAGAGGTTTAAAATGCGTTTACGCACACCCCCGCTGTTGGCCGGCGGGGGTAGTGTGGGGCTCACTGGTGTCCTACCCACTAAAACACTCCTCTCTTCCCCTATGCTCCACGAACATAGCACACGACGGGAACTGTACGTGGGCTTGCGTCGCCACCCTACCCTACCCTACCCTACCCTACCCTACCCTACCCTACCCTACCCTACCCTACCCTACCCTACCCTACCCTACCCTACCCTACCCTACCCTACCCTACCCTACCCTACCCTACCCTACCCTACCCTACCCTACCCTACCCTACCCTACCCCTACCCTACCCTACCCTACCCTACCCTACCCTACCCTACCCTACCCTACCCTACCCTACCCTACCCTACCCTACCCTACCCTACCCTACCCTACCCTACCCTACCCTACCCTACCCTACCCTACCCTACCCTACCCTACCCTACCCTACCCTACCCTACCCTACCCTACCCTACCCTACCCTACCCTACCCTACCCTACCCTACCCTACCCTACCCTACCCTACCCTACCCGTAGAGAGGGTAGGGGAGTATAGATGGTAGGGGAGTAGAGAGGGTAGGGGAGTAGAGAGGGTAGGGGAGTTGAGAGGGTAGGGGATTAGAGAGGGTAGGGGATTAGAGAGGGTAGGGGAGTAGAGAGGGTAGTGGAGTAGAGAGGGTAGGGTAGGGTAGGGGAGTAGAGGAGTAGGGGAGTAAAGAAGTAGAGGGGACTCTACTTCACCCCTACTTCACCCCTACTCAACTCTACCCAACTCTACTCAACTCTACTCAACTCTACTCAACTCTACTCAACTCTACTCAACTCTACTCAACTCTACTCAACTCTACTCAACTCTACTCAACTCTACTCAACTCTACTCAACTCTACTCAACTCTACTCAACTCTACTCAACTCTACTCAACTCTACTCAACTCAACTCAACTGGAATAGAGGAGCAGAGGAATAGAGGAGCAGAGGAATAGAGGAGCAGAGGAATAGAGGAGCAGAGGAATAGAGGAGCAGAGGAATAGAGGAGCAGAGGAATAGAGGAGCAGAGGAATAGAGGAGCAGAGGAATAGAGGAGCAGAGGAATAGAGGAGCAGAGGAATAGAGGAGCAGAGGAATAGAGGAGCAGAGGAATAGAGGAGCAGAGGAATAGAGGAGCAGAGGAATAGAGGAGCAGAGGAATAGAGGAGCAGAGGAATAGAGGAGCAGATGAATAGAGGAGCAGATGAATAGAGGAGCAGAGGAATAGAGGAGCAGAGGAATAGAGGAGCAGAGGAATAGATGAGCAGAGGAATAGAGGAGTAGTGGAATAGAGGAGCAGTGGAATAGGGGAGTAGAGGAACATAGGAGTGGATGTGTAAAGGGGTAGATGGTATACCTCTAGTTACTTCTCACATGGATGTATCGGCCGTCCATGTCGATGTTTGCCCTTATCGTTGTCGACCGTTGTCGCCCCACCCTACCTCGCTTCCTTGTTGCCTTCGTTGGTTTGTGTTGTTGTTGTTGATGGATCTCGTTTGTGGTGTCGGTATGTCGTGGAGTTCGTACCCTCAGGAACAGTTGTGGGTAAGGACTTCGGGCTCTCCTTGATGTCTTCCAAGATATGTTGGGTGCCATGCTTCCTAGGGGTTGACTCCTCTGTGGGCGGAACACTGCCGATGGAATCTCCGATGGAACACTGAAAAAAAATAAATAAATAACAAGTAAATTAGATGTGGTCGAGTCGGAAGCTCAGAGAAGAATGAATTCCCAGTGGCTCGAGTGTCGGTTTTTATATTGTTGCAACAATAGATTGTTTACGTTTTGGTGATTGATTGGATGCCTAATGACTATTTAATGACTGTTTGTCGTTCGTTCTTAGTTAATCCAGGTAGATTAATCCACTCATAATGGGTTTTTCCCATCTCTAATGGGCTTTACCGGGAAAATCGTTGCTTACAATTACGCCTTTTTTGGAATTTTCGGCCGATATCTCCGAAACTACGCCAACGATTTTTTTCAAACTTTTACCACATATTCTTTGATTTATTTGCCATTTTTCCACGCAGATCGCGTTTCTTCAAAAAATTATTTCACCTGCCTTCTTCGCTTCTCCGTGAAGGCTATACGACAAGGTAACGATCCATTCGTCTCCCGGAATTTGTTGATTCCTCAAATATTTCCGCAAATCATTTACGAAAATTTCTGGCGAATCGGTATCCGTTCCCGAAATGTCGGCGGAAGGAGTGCTGGATTATTCTTCGATGGGATGGCATTTTCCAGTCGTAGTAAAATCAATGGCATCGTCTACATGGAGCGGGCGATGGTTTCCGGGATGGTTGATGTTGCCGTAGAATTCATCGGTATTGGGCTCGTCCGGTTTGATGTTGTGGAGTTTGTACCCTCAGGAACAGTTGTGAGTGAGGACTTCGGTCTCTCCTTGATGTCTTCAAAGATATGTTGGGTGTCATGCTTCCTTGGGGTTGACTCCTCGGTGGGCCGAACACTGCCGATGGTATCGTCGATGGAACACTGAAAAAAAAATAAATAAATAACAACGAGTAAGTTAGATGTGGTCGAGTCGGAGGCTCAGAGATAAATGAATTCCCAGTGGCTCGAGCGTCGGTTTTTATGTTGTTGCAAACAATAGATTGTTTACGATTTGGTGATTGATTGGATGCCTAATGACTATTTAATGACTGTTTGTCGTTCGTTTCCAGGAAATCCAGGTAGATGCATCCACTCATAATGGGTTTTTTCCATCCCTAATGGGTTTTACCGGGGAAAAATCGTTGTTTACAATCTTCGATATTCAACGGGTCCCCAAAATATATCTTTAGTTTTGCCGTATGCTGTAGAAAACCGTATGCCGACGCTCGACGTCACGCGGGAGAACACCCTACCCTACCGGTAAACATATTGGTGTATACAATACCTAAGAAGGTACCTAAGAAGTCAGTATTCTTAGGTATAGAATTAGGTATCCGTTCCCGAAAATGTCGGCGGACGAAGTGTTGGATTATTCTTCGATGGGATGGCATTTTCCAGTCGTAGTAAAATCAATGGCATCGTCTACATGGAGCGGGCGATGGTTTCCGGGATGGTTGATGTTGCCGACGAATTAATCGGTATTGGGCTCGTCCGGTTTGATGTTGTGGAGTTCGTACGCTTAGGAACAGTTGTGAGTGAGGACTTCGGGCTTTCCTTGATGTCTTCCAAGACACGTTGGGTGCCATGTTTCCTTGGGGTTGACTCCTCGGTGGGCGGAACTCTGCCGATGGTATCTCCGATGGAACACTGAAAAAAAAATAAATAACAAGTAAGTTAGATGTGGTCGAGTCGGAGGCTCAGAGTAAAATGAATTCCCAGTGGCTCGAGCGTCGGTTTTTATATTGTTGCAAACAATAGATTGTTTACGATTTGGCGATTGATTGGATGCCTAATGACTATTTAATGACTGTTTGTCGTTCATTCCCAGGGAATCCAGGTAGATGCATCCACTCATAATGGGTTTTTCCCATCCCTAACGGGCTTTGTTGCCCTAAATGTTTTTTGTACGGCTTTATTAGCGTACGAAAAAATCGGAAAAAATTCTATCCTACGTAACTCGGCGAGATCTATCGAAATATCGAGCCGGATTTTTGTGAGAATTACGCCTTTTTTGGAATTTTCGGTCGATATCTCCGAAACTACGCCAACGATTTTTTTCAAACTTTTACCACATATTCTTTAATTTTTTTGCCATTTTTGCACGCAAATCGCATTTCTTCAAAAAGTCATTTCACCATGTTATAGGGAAATGAAATTTTACCGGAATTAAAATTTTAAATAAATACACTCCGTTTACTCGGAAACTATAGGGTTTTCGAAAAAAATTTATTCTTTCAAAATTATTAATTCAAGTTTCATTTAACTAACAAAACAAACCCGATAACGATATCTTAACCCGTTCAAAAGTTATAGCAAAAAAAGGAATTCCCGGCCGGCCGCCGTGCCAGCGCGTGTGACGTCACATCGCTCTATTACTAAACTACTACTACTATTACTAAATTCTGGTGATATATTACTAAATTCTGGTGACATATTACTAGATTCTGGTGATATATTATTAGATTCTGGTGATATATTACTAAATTCTAATGATATATTACTAGATTCTGGTGATATATTACTAGATTCTGGTGATATTACTAGATTCTGGTGATCACTAGATTCTGGTGATATATCACTAGATTCTGGTGATCACTAAATTCTGGTGATATATCACTAGATTCTGGTGATATATTACTAAATTCTGGTGATATATCACTAGATTCTGGTGATATATCACTAGATTCTGGTGATCACTAGATTCTGGTGATATATCACTAGATTCTGGTGATCACTAGATTCTGGTGATATATCACTAAATTCTGGTGATATATCACTAGATTCTGGTGATATACTACTAAATTCTGGTGATATATCACTAGATTCTGGTGATATATCACTAGATTCTGGTGAGATATCACTAGATTCTGGTGATATATCACTAAATTCTGGTGATATATCACTAGATTCTGGTGATCACTAGATTCTGGTGATATATCACTAAATTCTGGTGATATATCACTAGATTCTGGTGATATACTACTAAATTCTGGTGATATATCACTAGATTCTGGTGATATACTACTAAATTCTGGTGATATATCACTAGATTCTGGTGATATATCACTAGATTCTGGTGATCACTAGATTCTGGTGATATATCACTAAATTCTGGTGATATATCACTAGATTCTGGTGATATATAACTAGATTCTGGTGATTTATTACTAGATTCTGGTGATATATCACTAGATTCTGGTGATTTATTACTAGATTCTGGTGACATATCACTAGATTCTGGTGATTTGTCACTAGATTCTGGTGATATATCACTAGATTCTGGTGATTTATTACTAGATTCTGGTGATTTATTACTAGATTCTGGTGATTTATCACTAGATTCTGGTGATTTATCACTAGATTCTGGTGATTTATTACTATATTCTGGTGATATATCACTATATTCTGGTGATATATCACTAGATTCCGGTGATATATCACTAGATTCTGGTGATTTATTACTAGATTCTGGTGACATATCACTAGATTCTGGTGATTTATTACTAGATTCTGGTGATATATCACTAGATTCTGGTGATATATCACTAGATTCTGGTGATTTATTACTAGATTCTGGTGACATATCACTAGATTCTGGTGATTTATTACTAGATTCTGGTGATATATCACTAGATTCTGGTGATTTATTACTAGATTCTGGTGATATATCACTAGATTCTGGTGATTTATCACTAGATTCTGGTGATTTATTACTAGATTCTGGTGATTTATTACTAGATTCTGGTGATATATCACTAGATTCTGGTGATTTATTACTAGATTCTGGTGATTTATTACTAGATTCTGGTGATATATCACTAGATTCTGGTGATATATCACTAGATTCTGGTGATTTATTACTAGATTCTGGTGATATATTACTAGATTCTGGTGATTTATTACTAGATTCTGGTGATTTATTACTAGATTCTGGTGATTTATTACTAGATTCTGGTGATTTATTACTAGATTCTGGTGATTTATTACTAGATTCTGGTGATATATCACTAGATTCTGGTGATTTATTACTAGATTCTGGTGATTTATTACTAGATTCTGGTGATTTATTACTAGATTCTGGTGATATATTACTAGATTCTGGTGATTTATTACTACATTCTGGTGATATATCACTAGATTCTGGTGATATATCACTAGATTCTGGTGATTTATCACTAGATTCTGGTGATTTATTACTAGATTCTGGTGACATATCACTAGATTCTGGTGATTTATTACTAGATTCTGGTGATTTATTACTAGATTCTGGTGATATATCACTAGATTCTGGTGATTTATCACTAGATTCTGGTGATTTATTACTAGATTCTGGTGATTTATTACTAGATTCTGGTGATATATCACTAGATTCTGGTGATATATCACTAGATTCTGGTGATTTATCACTAGATTCTGGTGATTTATTACTAGATTCTGGTGATTTATTACTAGATTCTGGTGATATATCACTAGATTCTGGTGATTTATTACTAGATTCTGGTGATTTATTACTAGATTCTGGTGATATATCACTAGATTCTGGTGATTTATTACTAGATTCTGGTGATATATTACTAGATTCTGGTGATTTATTACTAGATTCTGGTGATTTATTACTAGATTCTGGTGATTTATTACTAGCTTCTGGTGATTTATTACTAGATTCTGGTGATTTATTACTAGATTCTGGTGATATATCACTAGATTCTGGTGATTTATTACTAGATTCTGGTGATTTATTACTAGATTCTGGTGATTTATTACTAGCTTCTGGTGATATATTACTAGATTCTGGTGATTTATTACTAGATTCTGGTGATTTATTACTAGATTCTGGTGATTTATTACTAGATTCTGGTGATTTATTACTAGATTCTGGTGATTTATTACTAGATTCTGGTGATATATCACTAGATTCTGGTGATTTATTACTAGATTCTGGTGATTTATTACTAGATTCTGGTGATTTATTACTAGATTCTGGTGATTTATTACTAGATTCTGGTGACTTATTACTAGATTCTGGTGATTTATTACTAGATTCTGGTGATATATTACTAGATTCTGGTGATTTATCACTACATTCTGGTGACATATCACTAGATTCTGGTGATATATCACTAGATTCTGGTGATTTATCACTAGATTCTGGTGATTTATTACTAGATTCTGGTGATTTATTACTAGATTCTGGTGATTTATTACTAGATTCTGGTGATTTATTACTAGATTCTGGTGATATATCACTAGATTCTGGTGATTTATTACTAGATTCTGGTGATATATCACTAGATTCTGGTGATTTATCACTAGATTCTGGTGATTTATTACTAGATTCTGGTGATTTATCACTAGATTCTGGTGATATATCACTAGATTCTGGTGATTTATTACTAGATTCTGGTGATTTATTACTAGATTCTGGTGATATATCACTAGATTCTGGTGATTTATTACTAGATTCTGGTGATATATTACTAGATTCTGGTGATTTATTACTAGATTCTGGTGATTTATTACTAGATTCTGGTGATTTATTACTAGCTTCTGGTGATTTATTACTAGATTCTGGTGATTTATTACTAGATTCTGGTGATATATCACTAGATTCTGGTGATTTATTACTAGATTCTGGTGATTTATTACTAGATTCTGGTGATTTATTACTAGCTTCTGGTGATATATTACTAGATTCTGGTGATTTATTACTAGATTCTGGTGATTTATTACTAGATTCTGGTGATTTATTACTAGATTCTGGTGATTTATTACTAGATTCTGGTGATTTATTACTAGATTCTGGTGATATATCACTAGATTCTGGTGATTTATTACTAGATTCTGGTGATTTATTACTAGATTCTGGTGATTTATTACTAGATTCTGGTGATTTATTACTAGATTCTGGTGATTTATTACTAGATTCTGGTGACTTATTACTAGATTCTGGTGATTTATTACTAGATTCTGGTGATATATTACTAGATTCTGGTGATTTATTACTACATTCTGGTGACATATCACTAGATTCTGGTGATATATCACTAGATTCTGGTGATTTATCACTAGATTCTGGTGATTTATTACTAGATTCTGGTGATATATCACTAGATTCTGGTGATTTATCACTAGATTTATTACTAGATTCTGGTGATATATCACTAGATTCTGGTGATTTATTACTAGATTCTGGTGATTTATTACTAGATTCTGGTGATATATCACTAGATTCTGGTTATTTATCACTAGATTCTGGTGATATATCACTACATTCTGGTGATATATCACTAGATTCTGGTTATTTATCACTAGATTCTTATAGATTACTAGATTATTTTGGTATAAATGTGTTGTTTGTTGCTGTTGTTTTTAGGTCGTGTTCGATGCCGGGGTGTTTAAAGAAACTTATTAAATGATGTTGTTGTTGAGCCCTTACAGTTACACTACGTTTAGAGGTTCTTGAATTTTAGTTTATTCTCATGGTTTTTATTCGATCTTCCTTTAAAGGAATAAGTATACCGAATACTTTTTTTTATGTTTATATTTAACGAAAAACAGTTCTATTTATAATTCCATGTAAGTTTAGGTTAATTTTAAATTTAATTCGGTGTATTATCCAACGAATAAATAAAACGATTGTGAATTTCTCTCATTAGGAACTTTATTCACGCTATTTATTCGAGTTTTTTGGGTCGGAATTCGATGTTCGGAGGTGGATAAGTTTTGTAATACCACAAGCAAACGTCGTGTTTAAATTTTCTTCCTACCCTGTAAGATTAAATATAATAAATAAATGCGGTTTGGCGAACGAAGTGTAAACCGATATCGGGTACCTTAACTCCCACAAGATCTAGGCATCTAGGCAATATGAAACCTAACCAATAACTCAATTGTTGTCAATACTGTCAAACGAACGAACCTACTGACAACCGAACACACCTACTGTCAAACGAACGAGCCTACTGACAACCGAACACACCTACTGTCAAACGAACGAACCTACTGACAACCGAACACACCTACTGTCAAACGAACGAACCTACTGACAAACGAACGCACCTACTGTCAAACGAACGCACCTACTGTCAAACGAACACACCTACTGTCAAACGAACGCACCTACTGACAAACGAACGCACCTACTGTCAAACGAACGCACCTACTGACAAACGAACGCACCTACTGTCAAACGAACGCACCTACTGACAAACGAACGCACCTACTGTCAAACGAACGCACCTATTGTCAAACGAACACACCTACTGACAAACGAACGCACCTACTGTCAAACGAACGCACTTACTGCGTCAACTACTTTTACTTATGAGGAATCCAGCTAAATACACATCTGTCAATAGTGTCAATTCGTTCATAACATAACCAAAAAAATTTTTAAATTTGTAATTAGTTTAAAAAAAAGTCCGTTAATAAGTTTAGTTTACACAGCGTGTTCGCGATGGAGCCGGACGAAATTTTAACGAAAAGAATCGACCTAATGTTGGAAAATTACTTCAAAATGGCCGAAACGGAACGACAGAATCTCTTCGACGCGTTAAAGATGGAAATTTCGCGACATTTCGAAGACGATAAAGTTCCCATAATTTCCATAAGCTCCTGGAGGTATTGCGTAATGGACGAAAAATCCTCCATGTACAAAGACTTCCCTTATTGGTCGTTCGGAGTTCATTCAAAGCCTACTCCGAAAACGATGCTATTTGGTCGGTTTTACATCGATAAACTGGAAGGAAGGCTGATGATCGATGATAATGTTCACAAAATGCCTTGCTCAATTATAAATTCCACGGTTAATCTTTCGATATTCTATAATACTTATATCCTTTTGAAGGACTATAAAATCGTAACGGAGATATTCCGAGATCCGAACGTGAAAAATTGGGAATACTTGATTGCGAATTTTGAGGATGTTATTTTATTGCATCCTTTGGAGAAATGTAGTTTATTTGGAACGGTTCCACCGCTCAGAAAGTTTCCGATCATAGAGGAAATTGTGATTGTTCGAAAAAGCCAGGTTATGTTGAATATCGAATGTTATTCCTGCGAGATTTTTTAACATGTATTTTTTCAGGTTTCCTTGCGAGAAATCACCGTTATGACTGTTGAAACCCATTTGGAAATTATATCGGTTCAACTTGGGATTAGAGCTTACCTTTCATTGCCTCATTTGTACAGTCGTATCCATTTGTTCTTAAGAGAAGGATTCAAATACAAATTGTACACCAACAGACATTTGTAAGTTTCCTTTTTAGATGTTTCCACATTTAATATTTATATCTTTTAGTATGTCGAAGGACAATCGTAAGCTGAGATCGATCGAACAATTACAATGCTTTGTTATTTCTCCAGAGGATAATGTTTATTTCGAGGAAGTGGAAAAGTATGAAAATTTTACTGAAATCGAGAATGGTTTAATATCGTTCGAGCGAGCCGTTTGCAACAGAGACTTTGTGGAGAATAATTTCATAAATGAATCGAGTTTGGCTGGTTTACCTAGTGGATTTAAGAATTTAGGTAAATTATAAGAAAAATTATCCAACGGCGTGTTAATATCGTTTTTTTATTTATTTATTTATTTATTTTTTTGTTAGATAATAAAACCAACACGGTGGATTTTTCGGAATCGAAACAAGACGGTTTACGATTGTATCTAAGTAATAAAGAATTGAAAGTTCGACCGATGGGATTCATACCTGACATGATTCTACGAGTTAGAAATGTACGAAAAAAACCAAAATATTTACAACCTACTGTATTTACAACGATAGAAATCGTTCGATATGAACCCAAAGTGCCGTTTTGTTCTGCAAATTTGTGAGTTAATAAGATCTTTATTATATTTTTTTCTCGATCGTTTCGCTAGACAATTCTGTTTGGATCTTGTTATGAATCTTGCTATGATAACCATAAATTCTAAACAGTTCTAAATGATTCTGTTTTAAATTATTCTAGACCTAGATCTTTACAAAATAACCAATAACCATATTGCTGATTTACAAACAGAATCGACCCGAAAATAACGATCATATATGGAGATTTTATTATTCTATTTTATGATTTTATTATTTTCCAGATCAGAAACGATGTATTCGGATTGGGGTCCCAGGTATTTTCTCAGCAAAGGCAACGGAATACCCAAAAATGTGATAATTTGGAGCGAGATTTACGAGACTAAAATATACGAATTGAAAATAACGAAACCCAAAAACATCCAAGAACTAACCGATAAAAGTTCTACGAATTGTGACGAAGACAAAATGAAATTCTACATGGTGTAAATGAAAACTAAAAAATTCCTCCAACTTCTTTTATCACTTATAAATTTTGTTTTTTAGTCTATTTGCGACCGATATGTTTGGAAGAAGTAGAGTGTACTCAAACGAAGCGGATTTCGTAAAGAAAATGTTGAATTTAAGCGATGTTAATTTCGAAAAATTGTCGGAAGTTTGCCAGTTTGTGACCGGTTCGTATTCGTTTAGCGATCAAGACGAAATAGAGGATACCGATGAACATCAAATTAACGTTAATCAAGTAATTGGGAATTATACATAATATACATATACAGGGTGTTTCGCAACTTATCTAGTATTTTAGAAATAACTTTGAGTATTTTTAAAGATCAGTTTTTATGTTAAACATCCTGTACATTAGGAATTATACATGCATATCATCATGTATAATATGTATAGACATTTTTATAGGCTTTTCACAATGATGGAATATCACAAGTTGTGGGTCTGGGTGAAAGTGAATTCTTTTTTAATGTTATTTTAATTCACCCCTTTATATCTTATTAATTTTTTTATTTAATTTTTAGATGGGCGATTCCAATTTGTTTCAATATTTGCTAACGAAATTCATTCGACATTTCAATCGAAGGGGTTTGCATCGTTCTTCTTTATGGATAAAATGTCGAAAAGAGTCCGATGTGAGACCATCGTTTAAGCCGAGACCGAATTGGAAACTTTTAGATATGAAAACAGTACATTGTTAGGTTTATTATAATAATTTTAAGTTATCCTGTGCAATATCTCGATATTACGTTTTCTTTTTGTGCGAACTGCGAACTTTCTTAACAATAGCTGGCCTTTGACTAATAGGAGATCTAGCTAGTGATAGTTAAAAGTCATTTGTATTTATAATATTTATATATCTTTCTTTCTCTATGGTTGTTTAATCGTACGCACTGCCACTTTTCCATTATTCCTTCAATAAACTTGTATTATTTTATTTAATTTACAGCAACTATTTTGACGACAATGGCAAGACAAAGACGAGTTGCAAGACCTGAAGTGTGCAAGACCGTGATTTTCTTTTACCTGTAAAACTGTCAAATAGTAGAAAGTAGAAGGCCTTTCTTGTATTGTATGATTGTATGTGTTTGTCAAAATTTAAGTCAAATAATATTTAGGATGTGGTAAATATCTGAGTACAACGAAACTAATTAGATAATGCCGAAGGAGAAAAAGGCGCCGTGTTGGTTAAATGTTTGGCTTAAAATGTCCTGTAATTTTCCCAAAAGTATCCCATAGATAGACGAATGAACATAAACGTAGGAAAAACATTCTTGGGCGTGCTCATTCACCTGTCGAAGTTGTGCTTCTCGAAGAATAAATGCGGCAGAAACAGCAAAAACGAGCCATCGCATAAACGCGATTTGTACCCGAAACCGTTGGAGAAAAAACCGGAGACGAAATCGAATAAACGATTGCCGGTCGAACATCCGCCCCCCTTGCAATTAATCAGACCGGAACAATCGTTCAAGCGACATCGCACGGCGAGAATTTTTCAACAATCGAAGAATTGCATGCAATCCGGTACATTCGACACGATCGGATGGAGATTGCAATTCGATCGTCAGGAGGAATGGGAGAATCCTTGTATGGGATGGTCTTCGAACGCCGATGGGGTTTCAGGCTTGCAAATGAAATTCGCCACAAAGGAACAGGCGATCGCTTTCTGTCAAAAGCACAATTGGAAATGGTACGTGGACGGAAAACAGACGAGGAAGAGACACAAAATTCGACCGTACGCCGAAAACTATTCGCATCGTAGACGAACTCGCGTTAGCACTAAGTGATTCTACTAGATAAATCGAATAAATTATTTAGATAAAAAAAATAGTACAGCTTTTGTTCACTTATTTAACTTTATAGTAAAAGACCGCTAAATACGAAGATGTCAAATGTCATTAGCTACTTCTAGCCGAATAACACTGGCAGCTGAGGCCAAAGATATATGAAGAAGAATTACCTACTTTAATTTCGTTTGATTAATCAAGCAAGCATTTTATTCAAGAAAATGGGTGCGTAAAAATTGAGTGTACAGTTAAAATAAACGCTAAACTATAAAATAAACAACCCTTTCTTACTTTTCTATTTTATTTACTTCATAGTAATAGATCACTAAAACCGAAGAAGTCACCAGTCAAAATAAACGACAGTTGACATTTAGCTGACGTACCTACTCGATTTTCGTTCGATTAATCCCAGCAAATATTTTATTTACCGAATTTAAGTGCGTAAAAATTGACTGTACAAATAAAACGAACGTTTAACTATAAAAAAACAACAACTTTTACTTGTTTTGCTGCTTTATTTACTCCATAGTAGCAGACCACTAAAAACGAAGAAGTCATTGTGACAGTAGCCAATGACAGGACTGATTTGGCCGAATAGCCCTGGTAGCAGAGGCCAAAAATTAAATGACAGGAAAGAAAAATAGAAGAAGAAAACGACATTTGACAGTTGACATTTAGCTGACGTACATACTTGACTTTCGTTCGATTAATCCAAGCAAGCATTTTATTTACCAATATGGGCGCGTGAAAGTTTCATTATACAGATAAAATGAGCGCTCTAGATCATCTAAACTCGAGCGGTGAAGAAGCCGCCAGCGATTTGGATACAATGGACGTCTCGTTGAGCTCCATCAGTTGCCAAGACGATCTAATGACCTCCGATTTCTTCGATTCGGTGATGTCTCTCGAGAACGACGTCGACGGCCTACTCACCAATTTCGACGAGGAAATTAATCTATCCAGTAGCGATGTCTGTTCCGGTTCCGGTTCAATTTCCGGATCCGGTTCCGTACCGTCCCCGAGGAGTTTATCATCCTCCGACTATCTAGACGGCTTCGACGACTACAACGATGTTCAACAACTAGAAGGCTTTAGTGAGGTCATACACGGTCAACTAGATGGTTTTAACGATACCAATCCGGACGAGTTCGATACGAAACACGGTCGTGTTAAAGTGGAACGTCTGGATGCACCGGATGAGGTTATTACGAAGCGCAAACAACCCACCCGCATACTCATCCAGAATCCCAACAACAAGAAATTCATAACGAAACCGATAGTGGTCGACGATCGACGACAACAACCGATCATCAAAATCCTCCCGTTGAATTTGAACAACGTGAAAATCCTCCGAACGAATACACCCATCGTCAATCGATCGACCACCAAACAACCCAAATACAATCAATCCGTAGCGCTCACCGACGAAGAACGAAGATTGTTAGCGAAAGAGGGCATCAATCTGCCCGTTCACCGGCCTCTTACCAAGACGGATGAGCGCGAGTTGAAACGCATCCGTCGCAAGATCCGCAACAAAATCTCCGCCCAGGAGTCACGCAAACGTAAGAAAGAGTACGTCGACGATCTCGAAGCGAAAGTCCGAAGGGGTTTGGACGAGAACAAGACGTTGCAACAGCGCTGCGAACGGCTGCGTAAACACAATCGTTTACTAGCGGAACGCGTGAAACGCTTGCAATCGTTCGTTTGCGGCGGAGCCTCGAAGGCGGCGCCTTCGACTTGTTTGATGGTGGTGTTGCTGTCGGCTTTGCTGGTGTCGTTGCCGAATTTGCGATTGTTCGATAAAGGAACGGTGCAAAATGACGAAGGGAACAACGGGGAACGATCGGTGGCCGTTCGAAGATCGTTGTTATCCAGCCAACAGACGGCTGAGGACGGTTGGAGTATGGAGGATTTGTTGGTGTTTAAAGACGAGGTAAATTCGATTTGTATTTTATTTTAGTCTTTAGGTGTGCGGAAACGCTTCAGAATCAATTAGGAGACTCCAGATTCATATAAAACTGTTTAGAATCACTTCAGAATCATGCAGAATTGTCTAGAATCATTTAAAACAATTTAAAACTGTCTAAAACCAGCCAGAACGCTCCAGAACCATTTAGAACGCTCCATAGTTATTTAGAATTGTAGAACCATTAAGAAATTTCTAAATATCCCATTTCTACATTTATTTTTACCAATTTAAATAAAACTTGCAACTAACTTTTAATTAACATTTAATTTATTGGACTATGATTATTTTATTTTTAATTTCTCCCCTTAATCGCTTACTCAGCGAAAGCACAATAATTTATTTTGCGTACTCCTGCAACGATAATAATAAAAAAAAAATCGTGAAAATCCTTACGTAATTATTGACATACACTTAACCCAGTTATTTTTATTTAATAGTATTTTTTGAACGATAACAATTCTTATCATAAGCAACAATGTTTTACTACGTTTTCGAATGCACCAAAAATAGAAATACAAATATTATCAGATAAAACAGTCTGGAAATGGTTCATTTTAATACACAAAAAAAATATCTACAAGGTGTTTATTAATTGAGTGGCGATATTTCACCATTCAATGTGTTGTCAAATTTTACAAGCAATTAAAATGAAGTCGAATCAACTACTTACCAATATTTACTGATGAACAATTAACAAATTAATAATTTCAATAAAATCCAGTACTCATTTGACCCTACCAGTAGCGGCGGTTCGTCCTTAGAAATAAACGTTTAAGATAAAAAAAAAATACCATCTCAACAGCGCATTTATCTCGACAATAACATAACAATTAACACCCTGTATATTCGTTCCAGGAGGACTTCGAATCCAGACAGGACGAGCTCGCCCTCGACAATTCCACCGACGAGGAAATCGCCAAAATCCTCGACGAATTAACGTCGAACTACTCCAAGAACAAAGGAAAGAGCTCGGAGGGCCCCATCGGGGGAGGTTTCTTTCTCTCGCCCCCCGGTAAAAACGGTGATTTTGGGGGCGGTAGGGTGACCGAGGGCGGTTTCATCGAACCGGACATCGACGAGTATACGGGGGACGAGCCCCCGACGGATGAGATTATGGGAATGGGGGTGAAACGGGGGGGCTCCGATTTCGGTTATTTGGGCGATGGTATGAGAAGAATCGTCTCGACGACCGTCGGTTTGTTTAACGGAGTTAAAACCGAGGAGAAGTAATTTTAGTTGGATTATCTTGATGTATCTTTTAAGTACTCTTGGTTTTTTTTTTTTTGTAAATACAGGGTGTTGTTTAATTGAATGGCGATAGTTCAGAATGCGAATGAATATTTGGATGATAACAGGGTGTTGGAGTTTTAGAAAAATAAATGACTTTTCGATCATGTAATTTTCTTATTACTTTAGATATTTTTGTGAAATTTTGTACACGCTTTGTTAATTAATAAGGAGCGTTTTTTGAGGAGAAAGATTTTTTCTAAATTATTACCAGTGACGTCTGTACGGGGTTTGAACTGAATATGTTTGAAGAAAAAAATGGCACGCCACTGTTTTTTCTAAAAAACTAAAATTATTTTTAAAAACCCTCATTTATTTTAGAACAAATTCCATCATATAAACTTTTCTTCTTAAAGTAATCCAAATATTCACATCCTGAAGTATCGGCACTCTTAATTAATTAACACCCTGTATAATACATTTGCGTATTTGAACGAAAAGCGGGAGTAAAAGTAATCGAGTAATTAATTCAATTAGTTACCGAGCGCTTTATGAAATTTAATTGTTATATCGATTTTTATATTATTTATCTGTATAGTGAAGTAAAATAGTGGTAAAAAAAAACTTATTGAGTTTAAATAAGCAGTTATTAATTAGGACAAAGTTATTATATTTACGTGTTGCTTTTTTTTTGTAATATTTATCTGTGTAAAACGTAATAAAACGATAACTTAAGGGTGGCGATTTTTGATTGGAAATGATAGAAATAAAACGCCTTTAATAAGAAAATACGCATTTATTTCTATATATATACACACATACACAGAAATCACTTTGATATACAGAATAAAAAAATATACAACTGGGATTTTCTTCATTTTATTTATTTATTTTTTTTCCTCCATTAAACCTTTTTATATTGCACGAGAAATTTCAACCCCCGATAAGTATCATAGGTCGATTGGGCATCTGCGATATATTCATCATACCTGCAACAAATAAATTACCTCTATACAGGGTGTTCCATAATGAAAAGCTAATATTTAAGGGGGTGATTCTGATTGGACCCATTTATGCATCGAGGATCCTGCTGTTACTTTAAAGCAAAAAGCTGTTTATTGTTTAAAACAAAACCGTTTTTCTCTAATCTTTTCCTTCTACCTTTCACATCAAAGTTAACGCTTCTTTTTTTATAAATATGTTATAAATAAATTCTACTACAAGATTGCTCAAATTACCAGCGTGTTGCCTCTTCTTCCGTTTGACGGCGGCGCTCACGAGAGCCCTCAAATCCCCATCGGAGCATCCGCTTCTCAAAGCCTCTTTGAGCGACACCTCGGCGTTACCGAATAGACAAACTTTTAAATTTCCATCAGCCGTGAGCCTCAATCGATTGCAGGAATCGCAAAAATGCTCGCTCATCGACGTGATGAAGCCCACTCGACCTTCGTGATCCGGTACTTTCCACGCCTGTATTTTACAAAAATTATTAAGATATATTCGAAAGTACTCGAAGGTTGGTTTAGTTACTTTCGATGTATCGGAAGGACCGTCCGTTAGACGAGCGAAATCCGGCCATTTTCGTTGGATTATTTCGACGAGATCTTTGTAAGGTACCATTTTATCCACGTCCCATTTGTTGCCGGTGAAAGGCATGTATTCGATGAATCTCACATCGATCGCTTTGTCTTTCGTCATATCCACGAAATCCAATATTTCATCATCGTTGAAACCTACAATGTAAAGTCGATTAAATCCTAACGAGATAAACGAATCGGTGGAGATAAAAGCGCACTTATTAGATCAACTTCAATCATTGATAAATCTACTTCAAGTACTTTATTAAATTACTACCGAAATGCAAGCGAATAAATGAACCCGTTCGCTTACTCTAATTAACAATTAACTTCACCTACAAATTGACTTACGGCCTTTTACTAGGCCAGTTTCCAACACTAGGGGGTGGTCGAACGTTCAGTTAGTACACTTACTAACCAAACAGACTCAATTACTACACATTCGATTACTAATAGACTAATTCAACAGACACCGAGCGAAATAAACTTCTCTCAACTTTACCCTTCATGACGACACAATTGATTTTGACAGGTCTATATCCCAATTGCAAGGCCAAGTCGATGCCTCTGGCGACGCGTTCCCAGCCCTTTCGTCGGCTCATCAATTCGAACCGTTCCGGTTTCAAAGTGTCCAAGCTGATGTTCAACAAATCGAGGCCGGCTCGTTGCAGTTCGACCAATCGTTTGGTGAGCACCAGACCGTTGGTCGTCATGGCGACCGTTTCGAGGCCTTCTATGGTCTTTAGATTGCCTGTGGAAATGGAAAGGGTCTTTTACTTTACAGGTAAATGGTAATCGGATCGCCTTACGAATGATGTCGGTGAGGTCTTTTCTTAATGTGGGTTCTCCGCCGGTGAGTCGGACTTTATTCACGCCTTCTTGTACGAATAATCGGGTTAGTTTGATTATTTCATCGGTGGTTAGAAGTTGGGATTTTTGGGTTAGTTGGACGCCTTCCTCGGGCATGCAATATTTACCTAAAAAGTACTCGTTTGATTAACAATTCGTAGGGGTTTTGTGGTTGTTGTTACATCGTAAATTGCATTTTTCCGATAGGGAAATTCGTAAATACGTGTGATGTCTTCCGAACGAAATCCGTAAGAGTGCGGTCATTTTCTTGCGTTTCGTGCTAAAAAAAGTGTTGTTTAATTAATAATATTGGTTAATTAATATGCAAATTACCTTAATTGATCGTCTGAATTGGTACAGGATTGATTTTCGACCAATTAATCGAGGCGACAATCCAATAAAAGGCGTCCGTAATTGTAACATATTTTACATAAATAGGAATACATTTGGATTAATTATTTTTTTATCAGTAGATAAGTTGACAAAGTTATTGCTACAATAGTTGACATTGTCGAGTATTTATTTAATAATGAGTATTATGTGAAATAAAAACAAAAAAAAATCCTTGGATTATTCGAGGTTAGGAGTATTGTCATTAGTGTCAATGTCAGCTGTCACATTGTTGAAAGTGAGCTAATTGGCCAAATAGGTGGAGGCCAATAAATTAAGAAGAAAGTGTGCTAATTGGCCAAATAGGTGGAGGCCAATAAATTAAGAAGAAAGTGTGCTAATTGACCAAATAGGTGGAGGCCAATAAATTAAGAAGAAAGTGTGCTAATTTATCTAACAAACCTCATTATCAAACTTATTACATATTAATCTAACTTCCTTTACTCTTTATCGGAGTCGATTAAATGTCGAAATATCGAAAAATTCTGCGAAACAGTTTCCTTCCTTACCGACCGATGAAGTCAACCTGTCACGTGCCAACTGTCAACGAAAAAAATCAACATGTCACTTTCGCTCTTCCGACGACCGGCCGTCAATTTATCCCGACTGCTATTTTCAACTTCAAGCCACTGTTCCCCGGTGCATTGCATGATGGAAAAACACGGCGTCGTTCCCGACGTCGTCGACGTGGCCCCCTCGACCGTTCTCGAGGTCTCCTACCCCACCGGCGTCCAGCCCGATCTCGGCAACATCCTCACCCCGACCCAGGTCAAAGATCCCCCCGCGTTGAAGTGGCCGGCCGAAGACGAGGCCCTCTACACCGTCTGCATGACCGATCCGGACGCTCCGAGTCGCGAGGACCCCAAATTCCGCGAGTGGCACCACTGGTTGGTGGGGAACGTTCCCGGCAACGACATCGCCAAAGGCGAAGTGCTGTCCGAGTACGTGGGCTCGGGCCCCCCGAAGGGCACCGGTCTGCACAGGTACGTGTTTTTGGTGTACAAACAGCCGGACAGGATTCAGTTCGACGAGAAGAAATTGACGAATCGATCGGGCGACGGTCGTGGGAAGTTTTCGATTAGGAAATTCGCGGTGAAATACAATTTGGGACAACCGGTGGCCGGGAATTTGTACCAGGCGGAGTTCGACGATTACGTGCCGTTGTTGTACAAGCAGTTGGGCGGTTAAAATTGGGTTTTTCTCTTTGTGTTGGCCCGGGGAATTTGCTTTGGAATCCATTTTTATTTAGAGTCTGTAATTGTTGTTGTTATTCGAATCATAATTATGTAATAAAAAGGTATAAAATATCAGTGTGTGTGTGCTTTAATGGGATAAGAAAAGTTAAAAGGTCGTTTAATAGAGTAATTTGAATTATTTTTAATCAAATTTTCGCAATTTGACCTATGACATTTTACTGACAGATATGCAACCAGTTTTACACACAACTTTTAAATTGCTAATAATACTGTTTCCAACGTATTACTTTTTTATATTTCATTGTTTGGATTATTTTATTTATATTTTCGGAAATTTGGCAAGTGTATTTTCACTTTTAAGCCATTAAAAGATCGCGACTTATTTTGGAAGCTGTTCTAACAACCGCATTCTTGATTTTCTATTCTAAAATAAGCGGGCATAAATTGTTTTGTTTTTTTCGAGCGAAAAAGCGACATGGCGGAATTCCAAATCTCTGACCACGCACATTCTACAATCATCGCTCTCCAAAATATCATCTACAAAAAAAAATTCGGAATTTATTATAAATTTATCAGTAGAAATAGTTTTATTTTGTGTTCTGTGATCGAAGATTTAGTGTTGACAGTTCAATTGACATTGACGTTTGTTGTGATTATGGTTCCGTAAACAAAAAGAAGAAGCGCCAATTGTTGTTTAGGTTTTTTCGAGTTATTAATAGAAATTTCCGATAAACCGTCAGGAAAATGAGCACTTACAAAGTCGAATTGTACATTTACGATTTATCAAGAGGAATCGCCTCCGCCCTTTCACCGATGCTGCTCGGTAAATCGATTTATATTTGAGGTTATGCGACGCGAACTTTCTATGTAAATTCAAACGAAATTTTCCCCATTTTAGGTAAGAAAATCGACGGGATATGGCACACGAGCATCGTCGTCTACGGCAGGGAGTACTTTTTCGGTTCCCGAGGCGTCGAAAGTTGCAATCCGGTGAGTAAACGAGCAAAATTCAACCGTACAACAATCACCTTTTGCACTACTTAAAGCGGTGTAAATGTGTGTAAAAAGCGTGTAAACGTTGTTGTCGGTCGTCTCTGTAGTGTTAGAACGTTCGCTTAGCGTTGAAAGTAGTTTTATATTTAGATCGGTTAAATATAGAATCTTTCGATGTTTGATTCGTTTCGTGCTGCGTGTTAGGGTAGGATGGGAGTTAGTTTTCAATTAGGTTTCGTATTTCACGGGTGATTTGTATTAGTTGTAATTCTGCATACAGTTCTTGAAGGTTACAATTAATTGCATTTTAGTAGGTATATTTTTTTGCATTTTTTTTTATTTGTGCAAGTTTTAAGTCGTGTTAGTGTTACGTTCTATTTTTTTTTACTCTCACTTCGTTTAATTTTAGATAGTTTTATCGATTTTTAAGCGTTTTCTTCCATTAAATGTGTAGCGAAAAGAGCATGTTTAAATTTAGAAAATTATAAATAGAATAGTTTCGGAATTTGTTACACTCATTCGGTACGTTTCAAAACACCTATTATAGAGAATAAGGTTAATACAGAGCACGTTTTTTGTTGCTATAACACTTTATTCTGTTTGTTTAATCAACTCAAAGTGTAAGTTTTAATGTAGGTTTTAAGATATAACTGAATGTATTAATGATAATACTCTTCATTAACTATAACTAACAATATTTAAACAAGTTTTTTTGTATCTTTTTAAGGGATCAACCGCTTTGGGTGCTCCGATACGAATAGAGACATTAGGCGAAACTGAAGTCACCTATTCGATATTTATCGATTACTTGAAAGGCCTATCGGAGAGTTCTTACTCGTAAGTAACCAAATACCTCGTACGTAAAAGACCGTATTATACAGGGTGGTCTGTAAATAATGATCCAAACTGAAATGGTAGATTCTCGAACTCAAAATACTAGAGTATTTTACACTCTGTATTTTTTTTATTAGATTTTTTTGTTCAATTATATCGAGTACTTTAAAAGATATTTAAGGAAAACCTATTACCGCATATCTTCGTAGGAAGGACCTGTAGGGAAAAACTTTATATAGAAACTTCTCATCTTATCGTATTACGTTCTACACGGACCCGAGAGATTTCCCATACTTTCAGCGACACCCTATATAATAAAATTTAAATTTGATCTCGTTGCAGGGGCGACAAGTACCACTTGTTGCGGCACAATTGCAACAACTTTTCGGACGAGGTGGGGCGATTCCTGTGCGGTTCGGGCGCCCCCCGGCACGTTCTCGATCTACCCGAAGAGGTACTCAATTCGACGTTGAACGCCGGCCTGTTGTCGTTGGTACATCGATTGGAGGACAGTGCTCGACCGTTGGTCGAAGAGGAGCGCCGAGGAGGGCCCCAATCGGGCGTCAAAGAGCGTAATAGTCCCGATTACGAGCGGCTCAATTCGCAAATCGAGGAGGCCAGGTCAGAGAAGACGGGTCGGGGTTCGAGGGAGTGAATTTTTTTGGGTGTTTTTTGTGGTTTTTGTGGTTGTTCTATGAGGAGGTGGTTGAGGGTTTGAATGGATGCGTTTAACGAATTGAATTGTGTTTGTTTTAACCGGTTGATTTGCTTGAAGTGAGTTTAATGGAGAGGAGTACGATGTGTAGCCTAATATATAGATTGTTTCAATTCAGATCGTAACATATGGTCGTCGTTTCTATGAGTTGAACAAAGAAAGATGTAAATGTTGCAATGACACAAATGTCACTCTTTCTTTTTCCTTTATAAAGTGTCTAATTGAAGTTGTATTTATCGCACTTACAGCCTAATATAACATATGTAGCGATCTGGAATGAAGTACAGTGTATGAAAAGGTATATAACTCATTAGAACCCAAATCAGTTTTTAGTTTGCTCAAACTATTCAATATTTTAGGAAATCCTCTCCATTGCGTACTAGTAAATAACTAATGAGGTATACATAATCATTAATTGTTCGATTAAAAAGTATTTGTACCTTACCTAAACGGCTAATTAAATTGCCTGTGTACCTGAATTTACTCTAGTAGAGAAAAGAAAACAAAAATTGTATAGCGTTTTGTTACTAATTGTACGTTGTTATTAGTCTGTTTTGTTAAAAATTATCCAATTATTCCAAGTAAATTATGTACCTACTTCCCTATGTAAACTAAACAGCTTATTGACTAATTACACCTAATTAATTAGTAGCCGCGCTCTTGATTATTATTATTATTATACGCTACCCTTTGCTAAAACGGTGCAAAACTCGGGTAAGTAATTAACCACTAATTACTTGTTACTAATGAAATTATTAGTGATTAGACGTTACTTATTAATCGCTTGCAATTAATTACAGAAATGTTGAACCGATTAATAATGATCGCTTGGGTTTTTTTTTTTGTAGATACGCCTCCTTCGTATTAGAACAACGTCGCAAACGAATCGACGGTAAATTAGAGAAAAGCGAAAGGAAAAGGGAGAAAAAGCGCAAGAAAATCTTGGAAAGCGGCGGAATTTTGCCTCCCGAATTGCGACCAGTAAGTGTATTTTTTCTTTTATGCCACTTGAACTGTCTATAGAACCGTTCAGAACCCTCCAGAATCATTTAGAACTATTCAGAACGCTCCATAGTCATTTAGAGCGTTCCAGAATCATTTAGAACTGTCTAGAATAATTTAGAACGCTCCAGAATCATTTAGAACTCTCTACATCGTCCCAGAATCATTCAGAACCGCGTCACGACTTAAATATTTCGACTCGATAAAGAGGAATAACGTAATTTTTCCACTAAAAAAAATCGTCGCCTTTCAGAGAACGTTTCGACTTACCCTCGTATTTTAATTTAATTGATTTATTTATTTTTTTTCGGTGAATTTCAGGAATACGCCCGACTCAAAATGGCGGACGCCGAAACGGTGAACGGTCAAGCGCAATTGACGAGCGACCAGGCGATAGCGTTGGAAGAGGAACAAGAAAAAAGGGACGAGGAGGAGAAGAAAAAAGCACGGGAACCGCCGATCGTTTTTAAAGATTGCGTAGACGTACGTTTTTTGTTTTTTTTTGTTTATTATACATACAGGGTGTTCCAAAAATGACTAGCTAATATTTAAGACAGTTATCAGGTTGATAAGCCTCGAAAGAAATGGTTAACTCGGTTATAAAGGGCGCAAGGCCCCATAGTATATGGGTTTTTTTGTAATCCCTCTATATATGGTTAAAATATTGCCCCTTTCGCAATGAAACACCCTGTATATTATGGGCTATTATATAGTGATGTGTGTTGTATTTTGTATGTTTTGTTTAAAAAGGTAAAGAACGAATTCGACGCCCTCGTAGCTCTAATCGATGGTAAATTAACACCCGAAGAGCAAAGGGCCACCGAGGAATTGCAACAGTACATGATTGGCGAGGAAGGTAGCTGGGCATTGAGCGATGGTTTTCTCGATTTCGTCGGTAAATAATACAATATAATTTACTCACCCCGTATCTAGAATTGGTGCAAAACGAATGGATGATTTTATTCTGCTTTTTAACTGGAAGTTTCTATCATCTTTCGGCAAGTACGACGACTAGTAGTGACATTTGTTTTGCACCGACTGTATCTATCATTTACAACATACGGGGCGCGCGCGAAAAGTTCCCAATCGTTTGCAATTTGTAATTTATACAATTTAATATACAGGGCGATTACTAAACGACGATCAATTCTCCGCCGATGTGAGAGTGAAAACGTTCAATATTTTGGCGGCGGCCGCTCTAAAAGATGACGTCATCTTGGTGTTGCACCAAGATCGAAAAGATCACGTCCTGATGAATTACGCCTTCGAAATCGATCGATTGAGCATCGAAGAACAGGAGAGCATAGCCCTATTCGTAAGTAATATAGCCCCCGATGAATAGTTCATTGTTTAAAGCGCCCTCTACACCGCCTGTTTTGATAATCGCGGCGCTTCGAGGAAAGCCGGCAACGTTGCGCTTACAGGAGTATAGTACATGTAGTTTTTCGAATTTGGAGAGACAAAGAGAGGGATGTTGCCATATTTCAGATAAATGCGCTATAAACAAGGAACTATAGATACTTTAAGTAGCAAACAAACAAGTAGAGAGATCAAGGGAGATCAATTGATTGGAAGATGAGAAAAAGGATAAATATGAAATAGGGAAGATTTCCGTTGTTGTCACATTCATTTTTCTGCTATAGCAATATTTTAACTAGTAGTAAAGAATAATGTGACTATGAAAAGGAAACGTTAGTGGCTCGTTTAGTATAATGTTAATTTCGGCTACTAACTAGTGGTGTTTTAACATCATTTTAATGAGAATAATAAGTCTGCAATTCTTCGGCTATAATTCTATTCTATTTTCTTCTTCGAAGATGGCGAACATGTTCGAAAATCTGAGCTCCTCCGAATGGCTGTTGTACATATCAGAATGGACTTACAACAATCGACAGACGAGCAATATTCGAGTAACGACGAAGGTGGCTGTGCATTCGTTATTGGCCGATTCGACTGTTTTGAGAGATAGAGGAACGGCAATCGTGCATAATTTGGCCTGCAAGGAGGTAAAAACCGTGGTCTGTATCGCTTTTACTTATCGCCTAACTAATGGATATATCCTTTCTCCTTCCCCCCAACCACAGTTATTATTCATAAATTCGAAAATTATCTGTCGCTTGTTAGGTAAACCAGGCAGGAAAAAGTAAGATACAAAAATAGAGGTAACATGGCGGTTCTAGTCAGGCGCCATTTCAGCCTAGGCAAATATATTTTAAATAAGAATTTTATTATGTTAAAATATTGAATATTTTCAATCGATTTTCTCCTCTGATCGATTCGTTCGATTTTTAAACTATTAATTTTAGACCAGTGTATCGCAAATACATTTTATATGTTCTAACCAGCCATCTTCATACTTAATTTTTTTTGCATAATAATTAATCATCAATTAATTGGCTTCCTTAAAGTTGTACGCTATTTGTTGTTGTTGTTGTTGTTGTTTTATCCGTCAATTCTTCCGGATGATCTATTTATTTATTTTTTTTTATTTTGTTGTTTCGAACATTTCTGTCTTTCTCGCACATTTTTGTGTCTCTCCGTTTTTTTTTGGGTTTGTTTTTTCCAGAAGTTGCGGAATTTTCGGATCCGCCGGAGCTTTCCCCAAGGCAGTCTATCGAAGGTTAGCTGAATTAATAGAAATTAATAAAAATTAATTAATACGTCTTGCTTGTGTAATTGCGCATCCTCATCGTGGGCGGCTTATTAACTTCTCTCTCACTTTCTCTCTTACTCAACAGCTAGTTCTCTCTCTCTCACCCTCGTTAACGAGCTAAAATTCTGGACACGCGCCCATTTCGCACATTTTCGTCGATTAATTTACGATTATTATTATTATTATTATTATCAATGCTAACTCATCGAAGAAACTCCGTAAAAAAACACACAACTCCTTTGTCCTGTTCCTTAAAGAAAATATCCCACAATACAGGGTGTCCCAATGAAAAGTAGCCCCTAAAAACTTACGGTTTGTCTCAAATAGGTTTTATCTTATAAAATCACTAGATTTAGTAACTTTTTTTCAATCTGTTCTCTTCATTTCGCCATTTGACAATTTCAGAAAATTCCTACATTTCCTGAAAACTCTAGAAAAATTCGGCAACACCGCCCTACTTGTGACGTAGTAAACCACAGGCGACTCGCATCGATATTCGTTTTGCAACCTCACATTAAAGGGGGCTACTTTTCATCGAAACACCCCGTATACTAATAATAATAATAATAATATATTTATAATATTCGCTTTCGCAGGTATTCGACGACGTCGCCGTCGAATTGACGATGGCCCTTTTGCAATTCTTCGACTCCCGTCCGCCCGAAGAGCAACTTTTTAGAGGTCTCAAAGCGCTCGCTCGATTCGTGCGAGTCTCAGCCCAGGAAATACCTCAATTGGTGCGCATGATCGGTCCCGATCCGAGGAGTTTCGCGGGCACCAGCGCCCGAGTGGACGCCGTCATCGAGGAGATGGCGCCCAAATTGCGGTAGAAAAATAAAAATCCACCCCGTGGGTCGTTGTTAGATATGTAATAATTGGAAGAAAATTATTGGGTTTGTTCTCTCCAGCGGCATGTTCTTTTTTTTTAGCAAGAACATTTTTTTTAAATCATTGCGTATGCTCACGATGTTGCAAAACATGCTGATGGGAACAAACCTATTAAGCGTGTATCTCGTTTTAGCGCGCCCCCTACTGGCGCCCGGGATAAGTAGACTATACAGGGTGTTTCCAAAACGTCGTGTAGATCCGAAATAGAACACCCTGTATAGTCTACTTACAAATCTCGCCGGTTGTAGCGCTGTTATCGATACGTTAATAGTGTATATAAATATGCGGTTTTATTTTATTTGTACTGTGATTTTGTGCCTTACCGGTGTTTCTTTTTTTTTTTTGTTATTTTTTTTTCTTGATTAACTTATTTTAACTACTTGGATATTTATTGGCGAATATGAGCTCGTTTTCTTAACAAGTTTGTTGTTTTAATGTTTTAACTATTAGCACATTTTACGGTTTGTTGTTTATTGTTGACGATTATTTTTTTTTCTACGTTTATACATTATTTATTCGTCATTAAAAAGGTATATGCGGAATTATTATTAAGTAAAAAAAAACCCTCCTCTAACAATTCCACACACCTACATTATATTTCGCTCTAATAAAAATAATTTATTATAATCAACAATCACATGAATTATTCCAAATTTTAGTTAAACACGGTGTTTAAATTTCGTTTGTTACACGCCGCGCTCGTAAATAAACTACCTGGTAAAATAAAATAAATTAGAATCAAACCTACTAATAAATAAAGTAATAAACTCGCAACTTACCGACGAATCTCTTGGAAGAAGAGGAAGAAGTAGAAGAAGAATAATCCTGATCCTCGTTGGAGATCACTTTGCACTTGTCGATTTCCTCGATTTCGAAACCCAAACATCGGAATTTCTCGTGACTACTGTAGAGCTCCGCAGGCGATGAAGAATGAAACGACGGTGAGAAATAAGGCCTACCCGAAAACGGATTGATGAAATCCGCCCAATAACCGGCCAATCTCAATTTATCGCAAATCTTTCGGGCTGTGATCAGAAACTGCAAAAAAAACACAATCGATATTATTAGCACTAGGGAAATGTTAAACTGCATAGAAATTACTAAAAAATAACGTCATTGCCTAACGATATGGAATATGGTTTAGCTTTGTACTCATATACGAGGAGTAACTTAGAGTAAACGTACAGTTTGAGCCAATTTCTCCACCTCCAGTTCCCCGTTTTTCTTCGAACCGGCGCCTCCCACGATGGCGTTCGGCCTCAGACTGACCGTGACAACTGACAATTCGCTGGTATCGTCTAATGGTCTATAAGGGAACAGATGTTTGACTGCATCCCTCAACAGAGTAGGACACTTTTGTACTTTCACCGTTATATCGCCTCTGTCGCTAGTCGAGCTCTGTAAAGCATAAAATAATATTATTAACTGTGAAATAAATAAAGTATTTCGTTATTTACTAGTTCTATAAGTTCCGAACAATTCGGATTCGCGCAAACGAACGAAAAAAATGACGAAACAATACGTCATTAATTTATCAAAATGGCGGACGATTTTCGATTTTAAATCGCGATTGTCGAAACGAATTTATTAACACATTTATTTACCTACTTGATCGATTTGTTCGAGTATCAGCTCGTGCGGAGTCTTGGCAGTGGTTTGGGTATCGTACCAAGCGAGGCCGATGTCGCCTCGTAGGAACAAAGGGAATTCATTGGTGGTCAATAATTCGAAACTCGGATCCTTCCACACCAAATTACAAGCATCTAAAACGTTATATTCAACATGATTTAACTAACAAACAACTTGGGCTATATCTATATCGTATAAATGTAAATTATACGACTAGTAGTTGCTATAAATAAACGATAAATTGGTTGTTATTTAAAGACGAGTGGATTTCTCGTTGGGTTTTTTGAATGTATTAAACTTTTTACCTTCTAAAGGATGCTTATGTTTGACATGTTTGTAGGGATTGTCGCCGTTGCTGCCGATTTTCTTCGAATAATTTCGGTCGAAACGGGCTCGAATCGTTCGATTCGCGTAGTTAATGTTGCGCAAAACGCGAATATACTTGTTCATCGTCGTGAATTTGTCGATTCTCATCTAACATTTTGTCATCGTAATGTTATTCAATTTGATTTTACTTGATTTGACATTCGCTTTTAGAGGTTATTGTTAACTGTCAATGTCAAAAGTCGTTTTAGTTCTAATCGGTCGCGGTCTTTACTAATAAGATTATTCAGCCAGTATAAATATTTCAAATGCAGGCCACAGAATTTATTCTTATTTAATTTATTCTTACCATTTTGTTATCATAATGTTATTCAATTTGATTTTACTTGTCTAGACATTCATCTTTAGAGGTTATTGTTAACTGCCAATTGTCAATGTCAAAAGTCGTTTTAGTTCTAATCGGTCGCGGTCTTTACTAATAAGATTATTCAGCCAGTATAAATATTTCGAATATAGGCCACAGAATTTATTCTTATTTAATTTATTCTTACCATTTTGTTATCATAATGTTATTCAATTTGATTTTACTTGTCTAGACATTCGTTTTTAGAGGTTATTGTTAACTGCCAATTGTCAATGTCAAAAGTCGTTTTAGTTCTAATCGGTCGCGGTCTTTACTAACACGATTATTCAGCCAGTATAAATATTTCGAATACAGACCACAGAATTTATTCTTTTTTAATTTCATATACAGGGTGTACCAACGGGGACTGGCCCCTTTAATGAACTTATCGTCTAGATATACGAAGACGCTGCGACGCCGCCGCGACGCGCATCTCTACACCGTACATGTGCACACATTTATAACCGCCTCCCGCGATCCTCAGATCCTCATCAGTCTCCCGCCACCGGGCCATCCAAGCAGGCCGTGCCTCTCCGCGAGAGGCGTCGGCGTCCCGACCATGACGACGGGATGCAGCGAGACGTCGGCGTCGAAATGCACTTGGGCGGAGCCCCAATTTTTCCTCATACCTGTCGCCCCCGGTTATCAGGTGAGATATTTACTATATACATGCTATATAATTCGCCGGTTATTCGGTATTTACAAAGACATTTTGCAGGGTGGTATGAATAAAACTGAGTTTCTTCTACCACTGTCTTCGTCAAAACTCGTTTTTGAAATCTAAACATGAAACTTTAACTTGAAAACTTAATTTATTTTAATAGTATTTAAATGCAGCTTGTTTATGTTGTACATTTTTTTGTCAAGTCTCTTAGTTGTAATGTCTTTGGGTATTTATTTGCATGTAAAAATTCGTGATGATGGGATTTTGGTTTTTTCCACAGCCGAGCAGGAAACGAGAGGAGGCTTTCGCTTTGAGAAACCTTCGCAAAAGACTCCAGGCGGTGGAAGTGTTAAAAGCGAACAGGGCCGAACCGATAGAGGCGAGCAGCCCTAACAACAACGATGTTTGTGGTGAGGATTTGGATAGGCCTTATTTGTTAAAAAAGGTAAGATGTTTACGGAATTCTTTGATGCTTTGGCAACATTGTAGTTTTTCATTTTCTGCTCTCAGACTACCGCGATGTCCAAAACTATAATCTTTCTTCTGTATATCTTCTATAAGTTCATTTGCTTTGTTTTGCTCCACAAAAGTTAAGGAAGCTCACAAATATTGAAGATTAATTTTAAAGTTGCAGGTTTTTTTGATCGCCAAATTTAGTGTGAATTGTAGAAATCTACAAGAAATCTACTCCATTTAATTTCGCATATTTGAACAGTCTGCGAACTTCCTTAACATTTTTGGAGCAGTTTATTTAAATTATCACCATTTCTTTCCTTCTTTATATTCCTCGCTTTATGTTTATCTTCATTTTCATCCCCCGCTGAGGTGACCTTATTAAAACAACCCCTATTGACCAAAATAATTCAAATAAAACGAACTCATTCATACGAAAGTCACAAACGAAGGGTGTTTTTCGTCCTTGTCGGCTTCCGTTCTTTTTTCAACCCTTATCTTTTTGGTTTTCTTATCGGCGAATAATTTCCACCGGCTTGTCACGCCATACGAAAACAAGTTTAAACGGGGAAAATGTCAAGGTCGCTGCACGAAATGCGATGCGGGATAAGAGATAAGGATTGGAAGAACAGAGGGTGGAAAATTTTCGTATCGAATTCAATTTATAAATTTTGTTATAAAGAGTGTTTAACTATTACTTAGAGAGTTGAAGAAGGGGTTGAAGAAGGTTTACTACGTTAGAATTAAGTAGGCAGTGTTGCCGAATTTTTGTAGAGTTAAGAAAATGTAGGATTTTGACAAATTGTACAACCTCCTACAAACCATCCTAAACTGAGTTTGAACTGATTTGTAGATTCTAATCAATCGTCCTGTAAGCATGGTATTGGACATGTCAGAAATCCGCACGGCTTGGCAAGACAGCGATTTTATAACAGATTGTCTCTGTTGGCATAATGTGTACAGACAGAGACACGCCGTACCACCTTTAACCATGTCTTCGGAGGTAATAAATAATATACTTTTGAGCTCTTTGTTATATCTAATAATATTTCGTTATTATTATTTCCAGCTCTGTTATTTGGCTCAAACGTGGGCCAATCATTTGGCGCACACCAACAGATTTTACTATCGAAACGACAGAGACATCGGCCAGAATTTGTTCTGTCGCCCGTCCAACGGCCTCGTCCAAGAAGTTTCCGGTGAGTTATTCAATAATTTAAAGCATTTTCTATTCATTGAACTTTATAAAAGAAGGAGATGATTGTCTTAGTTAATCATTTTGGTAAAAACCCAACTAGAACAAGTAAAATCATTCCACCCCAAAAATCAGCAAATCCAGTTAAATATCTCTAAACCTTGCAACGTCGCTTTTACACATTTTAGGCCGAGAGGTAGCCACGTATTGGTACACATCGACCAGACGATACGACTACTTCAAAGAACCCTTATGTCTACACGTCAACGTTAACGCAGGTTTATAATCTGTCATTTAATCTGTCACATATGTCAACTGTCAATATATATTTTTTTCGGCGTTGTAGGTCATTTCACGCAGATGGTGTGGAGGTCGACGAGGCTGTGCGGAGTGGGAAAAGCCCGATCGAGATCGGGAAAACTCGTGGTGGTCGCCCATTATTTTCCGCCCGGCAACCAATTGGGCGGTTACGTGAAGAACGTGCCGCCCCCTAGCGGTATTATGGCGTCCTGTTCGGGCTCGAATACGCCGGATAGCGTTATTTAGGAAAATTTCGCCCGAACGATGTTTTTTTCTTTTGTTTGTTTTGGTAATGTTGTAGTTTATTACTCTGCGCACCTACTTAATTGACATCTATCTGTCATTATTTTAGCCTAAAACTGGGAGGAAAACAATGAAGTATTTACTTTAAAGTAAACAACAACATTACCATTTTTTTATATATTTTTTAATGGAAAATCGTCGCTTGTTCGGTTTATTTTTTTATATACGTAAATACGTCGACTGATTAGCTTAAATATTTATATTTTTTAATTAGTATATTATGGTAATCAAATTCGAAACAATCGCGAGTGATAATATTAAATACAATCGCTTTGAATGTGTATTTTAGACAGGTCTTTTTTTAATTAATGACAGGATTAACTATTAATATTGCGCCTATTGAGTGTTTGAATTAAAAGGACATTTGGTCCTTTTTGTTCAATATATTTTTTGTAGTTTAACTGTTAATCGATTTTAACCGAACAATCGCATAAAAACGAAACAATCTAACACGAGAAAATGGAGACTTGTCACTTTTTGACATCTTCCTCTTCTTGCCTGTCAAATTATGAGATATAATCAATCGAAATATATTAAACTATATTCAATTCTAATCGTTAATCGAAAGCTTGATGCTAATTTATTAGTAAAAGTGCTCAAAATTGACATATCCTAGCTGTTTTTAATTGTTCTTATAGATGTCTAATGTATCTAAGTAGACTGCTGAATTTTCGGAGCTTCCTTTGTGTGTGCGCTACACAGGGTATTTGAAATTTCATAAACCTTTTTAAAGCTATAATAAAAATTCGTAAAGGGATGTTTAAATTCGGTTGAAGTTAATAATCGCAAAGCAATGTTAATTATAATAATATATTAGATAGAATATTTTTATTATTCGATATTGTTGTTGGTTGTTGTTGTGTTTGCTAATAATTGTGGCAAATGTTAATTGTTTAATAAAAGAATTTGGAACAAAGTGTATGCACGAAAAAAATTATAAATAAAGAAAAGAAGACTATTGACAAAGTGGCCGAATAGTCCTGACGGCTGAGGCCAATAATCTATAAAGAAAAAGAAGAAGACAATTGACAGGCTGGCCGAATAGCCCTGATGGCTGAGGCCAATTAACCACAACGAAAAAGAAGAAGACTATTGACAGACTGGCCGAATAGCCCTGATGGCTGAGGCCAATTATCCACAACGAAAAAGAAGAAGACTATTGACAGGCTGGCCGAATAGCCCTGATGGCTGAGGCCAATTATCTGCAACGAAAAAGAAGAAGACTATTGACAGGCTGGCCGAATAGCCCTGATGGCTGAGGCCAATTTTCCGCAACGAAAAAGAAGAAGACTATTGACAGGCTGGCCGAATAGCCCTGATGGCTGAGGCCAATTATCTACAACGAAAAAGAAGAAGACTATTGACAGGCTGGCCGAATAGCCCTGATGGCTGAGGCCAATTATCCACGACGAAAAAGAAGAAGACTATTGACAGGCTGGCCGAATAGCCCTGATGGCTGAGGCCAATTATCCACGACGAAAAAGAAGAAGACTATTGACAGGCTGGCCGAATAGCCCTGATGGCTGAGGCCAATTATCCACGACGAAAAAGAAGAAGACTATTGACAGGCTGGCCGAATAGCCCTGATGGCTGAGGCCAATTATCCACGACGAAAAAGAAGAAGACTATTGACAGGCTGGCCGAATAGCCCTGATGGCTGAGGCCAATTATCCACGACGAAAAAGAAGAAGACTATTGACAGGCTGGCCGAATAGCCCTGATGGCTGAGGCCAATTATCCACGACGAAAAAGAAGAAGACTATTGACAGGCTGGCCGAATAGCCCTGATGGCTGAGGCCAATTATCCACGACGAAAAAGAAGAAGACTATTGACATTTGACAGCTAAACATCGAGCACAACAATAACAAACACCGATTTTTACTCGAAATACTCTAAAAAAAACCATTAATTTACATCATTTTTCACCGCGAATCGGCTACGAAATAACCCATCGAGATGTCTTATATGCTAGCGCACTTGCACAACGGCTGGCAGGTCGACCAAGCCATACTTTCCGAAGAAGACAGAGTGGTCGTGATCCGTTTCGGCCACGATTGGGATCCCTCCTGCATGAAAATGGACGAAGTCCTCTACAGCATCGCTGAGAAAGTGAAAAACTTCGCCGTCATTTATTTAGTCGATATAACGGAAGTGCCGGATTTCAATAAAATGTACGAACTGTACGATCCCTGTACGGTGATGTTCTTTTTTAGAAATAAACACATCATGATAGATTTGGGCACCGGCAACAACAACAAAATCAATTGGCCGTTGGAGGACAAGCAGGAGATGATCGATATTGTCGAAACGGTGTATCGAGGAGCTCGGAAAGGTAGAGGTTTAGTCGTATCGCCTAAAGACTACTCGACTAAATATAGATACTAAGTTTTATGTGATTTGTTTGTATGTAATTTATTTTTTGTATTTCTTGGTATATAGTTATTATTTATTCGAGAAATATACAGCTAATTTTTAATTGCTAAATAATATAACATATTTACTTCGTTTCTTCTACTATTCAGAACATTTCTATTACTCCTCTATTTAATTAAGATATTACTCTAGATATATTATTTTTGTAACAGTCTAAACTACACAGGGGCACTCCCGTCCGAGAACACGAATATTTCTTAACGTTTCCACAACCCATGCTACAGTAAACTGTCTTGAACGGTTTGCGAGCCTTTTGGGGCCTCAGAGGATAATCGTATCCCTCCGGAATCGCCATAATCGTCTCCCCGAAGCTCTGTTTGTACAAAATACAAGGCACCGAAGTTCGAACTGTCTTAGGTTTCGATTGCTTCCCGGATTTCGAGTCTTGCTTCTTCAGCAGCCTCTCCATCGTTTTCTTCTTGTCCTTCTCGCGCTTCTCGTCGGCTAGTTGTTTGCGTTTCAACGATTTTATGGCCGCTTTTTGAATGGCTTCGGCCGTCATCACTTTTTCCTAACAAAACAAATTCATAATACGCTTAAAAATCGAATCGAATTAACTACTACGTTACTTTATAACCGGTCGGTAGAGACATCAGAGTAGGCGTAGAAACGTTCGAAGCGCCTTCGCCTGCTCGATCGTACATGGCCCTCTGCCTCGCTGTCATTAGGGCAGGATCTTTGGGCTTGATTTTCTTCAATTCGTCGTCGACATCCTCTAATTTACCGGATTCTATGGCGGTTAACCAGCGTTCCTCGTCGCTGGAGGCGCTGTCGCGTTTCTTGCGCTTTTTACCGGCGTTCGAAGAGCTCGAGGGGATCGGGGAGTTCTTGGACGTGACGGGGGGTTTGCTCTTCGCCGGAACGCCCTCGTCGACGATCACTAGATCGTTGGAGGAGTCCTCCGACAGGACCACTTTGGAGCGCTTCGATTTGGATTTTTTGCTCGATCGTTTCGGAGACGGCGCGTCCGGATCTTAAAAAAATGATTCAGTATACGAAATTTTATTGTATTTATGTAATTATGTACCCATTGCAGTGGTTTTTTAATGATAAAATATATAAAATTTGTTTATTTAAACATAACCTACAAATTAAATGTCACTTGTCACTTATGTCTAATGTCAAACGGTGGTACAAAATTTTTTAACATGGTTGCCAAGTTTGCGGAATAATGCTACTGGCCGAATAGTCCTGACGGCTGAGGCCAATAATCTATACAGAAAAAGAAGAAGACTATTGACAGGCTGGCCGAATAGCCCTGATGGCCGAGGCCAATATTCCATTACGAAAAAGAAGAAGACTTTTGACAGGCTGGCCGAATAGCCCGACGGCTGAGGCCAATAATCCATGACGAAAAAGAAGAAGTCTATTGACAAGCTGGCCGAATAGCCCTGATGGCAGAGGCCAATAATCCATTACGAAAAAGAAGAAGACTTTTGACATGCTGGCTGAATAGCCCCGACGGCTTAGGCCAATAATCAATGACGAAAAAGAAGAAGACTATTGACAAGCTGGCCGAATAGCCCTGATGGCTGAGGCCAATAATTCATTACGAAAAAGAAGAAGACTATTGACAGGCTGGCCGAATAGCCCCGACGGCTGAGGCCAATAAACCATGACGAAAAAGAAGAAGACTATTGACAAGCTGGCCGAATAGCCCTGATGGCTGAGGCCAATAATTCATTACGAAAAAGAAGAAGACTTTTGACAGGCTGGCCGAATAGCCCCGACGGCTGAGGCCAATAAACCATGACGAAAAAGAAGAAGACTATTGACAGGCTGGCCGAATAACCCTGACGGCTGAGGTCAATAAACGCACGCATGCATTTCAACGAATCAACATGGTGGGTGGAAGCTGCGCGTTGGGAACACGTTGAGGTTGAGCACACACCACGTGTAGCCTCACATCGAGTTCGAGCGGGTTTGTAGTAATAAAATAGTCGAAAAAATGAAGTATATTTTAGTGACCGGCGGCGTTATTAGCGGCGTTGGCAAAGGCGTCATATCCAGCTCGTTCGGCGCCATTTTGAAATGCTGCGGCATCGAAGTAACATCGATCAAAATCGACCCATACATTAACTTAGACGCCGGAACGTTTTCGCCATACGAACACGGTAATAACGTAACAATACACAAATTATATTCCCTTTAAACTATTGTTGTTAACACGTCGAGTAACCGGTTACATAATTTGTCGTTTCCAGGTGAAGTGTTTGTGCTAGACGATGGCGGTGAAGTGGATTTAGACTTGGGAAACTACGAAAGATTCCTCAATATCACACTGCATAAAGAAAACAACATTACGACAGGAAAAATATACAAACACGTTATCGATAAGGAACGCCACGGGGATTATCTAGGCAAGACGGTTCAAGGTAACTAGATCCAAAAACGATCAAAAACAACACCACCAATTTACTAATCTATCTCCAGTGGTGCCCCACATCACCGATGCGATACAAGAATGGGTGGAACGCGTTGCCCAGAAACCCGTCTCGGAGACAGGCAAACCACCGCAGGTGTGCATCATCGAACTGGGCGGCATCGTCGGCGACATCGAGAGCATGGCCTTCGTCGAAGCGTTCAGACAGTTCCAGTTCAGGGTGGGCAGGGAGAATTTCTGCGTGGCGCACGTGTCGCTGGTGCCCCAGCCTAAAACGACGGGCGAGCACAAGACGAAGCCGACGCAGACGTCGGTGAGGGAGTTGAGAGGTTTGGGACTGTCGCCCGATATTATCGTGTGTCGATCGGAGAGGCCCATCGGACAGGAGACGAGGGAGAAGATATCGAGTTTTTGTCACGTGGCTCCGGCGCAGGTGATTTGATTTGATTTGATTATGGAGGGTGTAAGGGGGGTAGGTTTGGAGTAGATTCGGAGTAGATTCAGTGTAGAGGAGAAGAGAATAGAGTACGTGCAGGGTAGAGTGGAGTAGAGTAGTTCCAGAGTAAAGTAGATGAGAAAAGAGTGGATTCAGAGTGAAATAGAGTAGATTTAGTGTCGATTTAGATGTAGATTTTGAATTGAGGAGAGTAGATTCAGAGTAGGGTATAGGAGAGTAGATTTAGAGTAGAGGAGAGTAAATTCAAAGTCGATTCATAGAGTGGGGTAGATTTAGAGTAGGGGAGAGATGAATAGATTCAGTTTAGAGTAAAGTAGATTCAGAGTGTGGTATAGGAGAGCAGATTCAGAGTAGAATAGAGAAGAATATAGGAGAAGAAAGTACATTCAGGATAGTGTCGAGTAGATTAGAACCAGAGTAGAGGAAAGTAGATGATAAAAGAGTGGATTCAGAGTGAAATAGAGTAGATTTAGAGTGGATTTAGATTTAGAATTGAGGAGAGTAGTTTCAGAGTGGAGTAGAGTAAATTTAATGTCGTTTTCTAGAGTAGGGCAGATTTAGAGTAGTGGAAAGAAAAGTAGATTAAGAGTAGATACAGAGTCTATTCCTAATTTCTAGTGTAGAGTAGATTTTGAGTAGTTTCAGAGTAGATTCAGAATCGATTCCTAGTGTAGAGTAGATTTAGAAGACTACAGCAGAGAGTAGAGTATATTCAGTGTAGAGGAGAGTAGATTCAGGGTATATTTGTAAAGAAGACTAGACCATAGAGCCTAGGAGAGTAGAGTAGATTCAGAATATACTGGTATAGTACACTAACAGCACACCAAAGTAAACTAAACCACATCAGATTGTAACCAATTTTGGTATCCATTCGACAGATAATCAGCATACCCGATCTAAAATCCGTCTACGAAGTCCCCGTCTTCATGGAGAACCACGGCATGGCCGAATTCCTCGACGAACGCCTTCGCTTGGGCATCGCCCCTTTACCGCCTCTGAGGAAATACATGCGACCTTGGATCGAGCTGGGCTCGCGCATGGCCAACTTGAAATCCGAAATAACGATAGCCGTCGTGGGGAAATACACTCGATTGGAGGACTCGTACACGTCGATAGCGAAGGCTTTGCGACACGCCGGCAACGCCGCCGGTTTTAGGATCGATTTGACGTTCGTGGAGGCGTCGAATTTGGAGGTGGCAACGTTGCAGGAGGATCCGGCGGCGTATCACGAGGCTTGGAGGAATTTGTGCGTGTGCGAGTGAGTAGATTGATTTGTGCGGAGTGGATTAGGAATAGGGTAGATGAGAGTGAATTTAATGTCGATTCGTAGAGATTTAGAGTAGAGTAGATTGAGTGTAGTGTAGAGGAGAAGGGAGTAGATTCAGGGTATGGTAGATTCAGAGTAGAGGAGAGTAGATTCAGTGTAAATTCGTAGAGGAAAGTAGATTTAAAATAGTGTAGATTCAGAACGGAGTTAATTCAAAAATTAGATTGCAAAGTTTTCTCATAAAATTATTCACCGTTATCAACCATTTCTATTTCATTCGAAATCACCGTTTCAATTCGATTAATGCAATTCGATTCTCCGTTCCAGCGTTGTAGATTTAAAATGAATAGTAGATTCCGAGTAAAAGAAAGAAGATTTAGACTAGTAGATTCGAAGAATAGATTTAAAATAACGTAGATTCAGAGTAGGTTCAGGGTAGATTTGTAGAGAAGAGTGAATTCAGAGCAGAGTAGATTTAAAATAGTGTAGATTCAGAACAGAGTAGATTCAAACATTAGATTTCAAAGTTTTCTCGGAAAATTCACCATTATTAACTCAAAATCACCGTTTCTAATTCGATTAAACGCCATTCTCCGTTCCAGCAGTGCAGATTTAAACTGAACAGCAGATTCAGAGTAAATAAAAGAAGATTTCGACTAATAGATTCGAAGAATAGATTTAAAATAGTGTAGATTTAGAGTAGATTCAGAACAGAGTAGATCCAAAGATTAGATTACAAAGTTTTCTAAAAAAATTCACCATTCACCATTATTAACTCAAAATCACCATTTCTAATTCGATTCTCCGTTCCAGCGGTGTAATAGTCCCCGGCGGTTTCGGCAAACGAGGCGTCGAAGGAAAAATCCTGACATGTCAATGGTGCAGGACGAACAACAAACCATTCCTAGGCATCTGTTTGGGTTTCCAGGCGGCCGTCATCGAATACGCCAGGAACGTATTGAAATTAAACGGGGCCCATTCGATCGAAGTCGACGAGGATACGGCCCATCCGGTGGTGATCGATATGCCCGAACACAATCCGGGACAACTCGGCGGTACGATGAGGCTCGGTAGAAGGACGACGGTGTTTAGGAAGGGCGATTATAATTCCAAAATTAGTGAGTTTTTTTTTGGGTTTTTTGTTTGAAATTTAAATGTTTATTTACAATAGTGTAGATTCAGAGTAAATTTGAAGTGTAGAGTAAATTTAGAATAGGTTTAGAGTAGAATAGAGCAGATTCAGTGTAGTGTAAAGAAGAACAGAGTAGATTTAGGGTACGATAGATTTAAAATAGTGTAGATTCTAAGAAGATTTGAAGTATAGAGTAAATTCATAAAGAAGAATGGATTCAGAGCAGAGAATATTTAAAATAGTGTAGGTTCAGAGTAGATTTGTAAAAAAGAGTAGATTCAGAGCAGAATAGATTGAAAATAGCGTAGATTTAGAGTATATTTGAAGTGTTGTGTAGATTCAAAGCAGAGTAGACTGAAGCAGTAGATTTAAAATATCAATTTTAAAATTTAAAATAGATTAAAATAGATTTTAAATAATTAATTAATCAATTTTTCTGTTTTTCTTAATGAAAAAACACCCATTATATCAATTTTTTTGATTTCCTTTATGAAAAAACATCCTTTTTATCAATTTTTCTGTTTTTCTTAATAAAAAAACACCCTTTATATCATTTTTTTTATAATTTTCTTAACGAAAAAACACCTATTATATAAATTTTTCTGATTTTCTTAATGAAAAAACACCCTTTATATCAATTTTTCGGTTTTTCCTTAATGAAAAAACACCCATTATATCAATTTCTTAACCCTGTTTTATCCTCAAATAACGGGACACTTTTTTTTTAGTATTTTTATATTTATACGGGATTCGAGGCCTCTTCTACTGCGGTTATTCAACCCAAGTCATTCGACCTTTACAAACTGATCGCCCTCTATCTATAATTTCAATTCAAATCCAATAATTCATTTAAGAGATTAAAACATATCGCTTTTCAAATTTCCAGAAATGCTATACGGCAATCGAGACAAAATCGACGAACGCCATCGACATCGATACGAAGTCAATCCGTTGTACACGAAACGCTTCGAAGAGGCCGGTCTCCGTTTCGTCGGCGTCGACGTCGACGAAAAACGAATGGAAATCCTCGAATTGGAAGATCATCCATTTTACGTTGCCGTTCAATATCACCCCGAATACCTGTCGAGACCGTTAAATCCGTCGCCGCCGTTTTTGGGGTTGGTTTTGGCGGCGAAAGATCGCTTGAGGGCGTTTCTCTCGAAGGGTTGTAAATTGTCGCCGAGGGAGCCGCAGTCCGATTATGATTCTGGTGAGTTTATTTCTTCTTTTTTTGTTTAGAAGAAAATGTTGAGAGTTTTTTTCGGTATGAAGGGTTGTCTTACGGCGAGTTGAAAGTGTCTATTTTGGAATAGGAAACTATATTAATCCGATTTAAATAATATTTGGTGTGTATAGAAATATTTTGATTGTAGTGCCGCTTCCTGATAAACCGAAAATAGTTGTCAACTTTGTTATTTCAAATGGAACACCTTGTATATTGATGTATTTTCGAAATCTACGCAAAATTTTAGGAGATTTTTGTCTAAAACACTTCAAAAATGCATATTTTTTAAGTGATTAATTTTTTTCTAAAAAATTTTACCGATACGAACTCTTATACATATTTTTTTTCGGGAAACCCTTTCAAATTTCTTCGTTTTTCTAAACGGAACCTCTTAGTTTTTTCCTAGTTTATCGAATTTAGTTGTAAAAAATAAGGTAAGTCCACTTTTACTTCCCTATACCTAAACCTAAACCTAATAGATTTGATGTTGTTAAAAAAAATTACATAAAACTTACTTTTTTTTTCCACAATTCTCAAATAACTCTGTTTTACAAATTACCCATGTAATATCCTACAAGTATCAAAATTAAAAACCAATTATTCAAGAAGAATTTCATCGACCAATTTCGTGTATTAACCAAAATTTTCCAAGACAATCCTCCGATCCGTTGTTTCCCAAAACGCCCAACCAGCCATCGACCGTGGATCACCCTGTATACAGATAGTTTTAACTCGTCGTTGGACACCCTGTATAAGCCTCGGATATAAGGCTATTTGGCCATAATGAAAAAAAAAAAAATCTTAACAAAACGATAAGATAAGATAATGGCAATTGAATTGAATTTTTTTTTACCAGACGACGATTTCCTGTTAAATCCTTTGATGGCGAAGCAATTGAACATTACGAACGATCAAGACGACAACAGCAGCGCTTACAGCAGTTCCAGTTTTCCAGAAGCTCCGGAATAATTAGTTAGATTATTTTTTTTAGGTATTAGCTTACCTGTTTTTTTTTGTTTCTTCTTTTTTTCCAAAAAAAAACCCTCTACGTTCCTAACGTTTATTTTGTTGATTTGACATGTTAGATTTATTTTTTTACTTACCTACTTCCTAATCGTTCCGAATGTAGTTATACGAGTACATGTTGTAAATTTATTGATCAACAAGATGAATAAAATAAATACAAATCGTTCGTTATAATTCATTTCGAACCTGCAGTAGAGTTAAAATTTATTGATCAACAAGAAATAATACAATAAATTGTTCGTTTTATTTCATTTCGAAGCTGCAGTAGAGTTAGAACCTGCAGTAGAATCAGAATCTACAGTAGAATTAGAACCTGCAGCAGAATTAGAAGCTGCAGTAGACTTCGAAGTATCATTGGTAATAATTGTATTGGGATTAGGTTGGGTAGCGGCAGTATTTAGAGGCGAGCCGTAGTCGAGGGCTTTTGGTCCGAATAGAGGTATCCCATTTTGAGAATATAAATCGTGGTGTGTCATCATGGCGTCGTGCAGACAGAAAAATAAGTGCATGGAAGTCTGCAAAGCCGTCGGTCCGGCTTCTATGCATCTAATAATACAAAAAAAAAGTGTATAATTTGGCTTAAAGTTGGTAGAATCGACCAGACTATATCTAGATTTGTCTCCTAATCAACCAGACTATATCTGGATTTCTCGTCTAATCGCCCAGACTATTATACATAGATTTATCGCCTAATCGACCGTACTTTATCAGTTCATTAATAGTACAGGATTTAATAATAAAAAACTAACCTTTCTAACTGTCTCTGGAGAGCGGCCTCGTCTCTAATGACGCGAGCCAGGTGACTTTTGACGTTTTCCTGGGAAACTTCCCCGGTGATTTTCATCAGGCCCATCTCGATGCACAAACACAGGGCGTGGTACTCGATCTGGTGGGGCTCGAGGTGCTCGTGACCGAACAGTTTTCGTTCGATTTCGGGCTCCAATCGGGTCATTTTGGAGCCCTGGCATTTTTCTCGGGCGCTGCGGGCGTCGTCTTCGAAGGGCAGGACGTCGGTGGGGCCCGGTGGGGACACCGCGAGGGTCTAAATGTGGGGAAATTCGTCGAAAATCGTTCATTAATCAAGCGTGTTTTTACTTGATGACAGTTTTGCATTGGTTGTTATGGAGTAACTAAGGAGATACTTTTAAATTGACAATTTTAGATTGGTTGTTATGGAAGTAACTATGAGTTGAACAAAGACAGATTAATAAAATAACAGTTGTCAAAGTGAAAAGTTGCAATGTCAAATGACACAAATGTCACTCTTACCTTTTTCTTTGTTAGTGTCTAATGGAAGTTGTCTTTATCGCACTTATAGCCTATGTATTACCTATGTTGCGATAAAAAAAATGGAGCAACCTGTATATGGACGTTATTTGTTATAAAATCACCCAAACTTACCGGATTTAATTGAAATATAGCGCAAAAAAGAACTGCGACTGGGAGATGCTTCATTTTTGGTGATTGTAACGAGTATATTTGTGTTGTTATGCGATTATTAATATAGTTAAAGGTTGCTTAGGTCGTGAATTTTTTCTTTAGCCGAGTCTCTTATCTGTATGTTATTTATACAGGTTGTTCCTAAACATCTTAAACATCGTTTAAACGATCGTTTATACAGTCTTTTTAACATTTTAACAAAGTCCAGAGTTACTCCATTACAATATAATACTGTCAATAGAAAGAATCTCCTTAGTTACTCCATAACAACCAATGTAAAACTGTCAAAAGTGAAACAGTCTCCTTAGTTACTCCATAACAACCAACTCAAAACTGTCATCAAGTAAAACACACGCTTGATTAATAAACAATTTTCCACGAAACCTTTTATTACAAAAATACAAAAAACAAAAGAACCCCACACTACATTATCATCGAACATCAAGCAGCCCGACTTCCTGGTACTCCGCGCGTCATCTAATGGTGATAATCGAACCCATATCCACCTGCATCACCACCAGCGTGAGCCGACACCGCCGCCCCGGCCGCCGCCGCGTTCGATCGCGCCAAATGCGCCGCCTCGGCCGCCTTCCGAGCCGCCTCTTCGGTCTGGTGCAGATCGTTCAAGCAGCCCTGCAGCTGCGCCGATATCTGGTTCAACCGTTGCTTGGCCTCCACCAGCATGGCGTGTTGAGCGCCGGCCGCCTGGGCGGCCTCGTTGGCGGTCTGCGAAGCGTGCTGGGCGGCCGCTTGGGAGGCGGCGAGCGCCGCCGACAGGGCGTTGAGCTGCCCTTGGGTCTGTTGGGCGGTTTCTTGGGCCGCTTGGGCGGCCGCCTGCGTTTGTTGGTAGAGGGCGGCTTCGGCGTGAAGTTGCTGCTGGGCCTCGGACAGTTGTTGTTTCAAGCTACTAACGAGCGCTTGTTTGCCCACTAGGGCCGCTTGGGCGGCTTGGGACGCCTGGAAATTTACCAGAATTAGCATCATTTAGTTGGTGTTTTCTATGCAGTTTTGCTGTACTATATATTTCTAAGGTCTGGAAATGTATAGGTCGAAAAAGTATCCAGTTATTTGAGGATAAAACAGGGTTCCTAAAACGACCGCTAGGAGGCAAAAGTGAAGCTCAAAAAGTCATCGATTAACGGGACACTTACTCTAATGCATAAGCATAGGAAATTTCCAGAACCTCAGAAACCTCAATCACCTTGCTATAGATCTTTTTGGGTTCTATTTAGGACCTATTATACTGGGTGTAAAGTTGATACTTACGCCGTAGGCGGCGCTGGCGAGGCTGCTTTTGATGCCGAAGGCGGCTTGATTGCCGGCGGATTGTTGGTTTTGGGCGGCCGTTTTGGCTTGGGCGGCGCTGGAATGGGCGAGACTGACCAATTGGGCGCCGTGGCCGCCTTTACTTGGTTCGTAGTCATGGCTTCCTGCGTTGTTGATGGCGTTGTTGTCGAAATGGGAATCGTACGAGTAGGAACCGTCCGCGTACGGTTCGAGAACTGTCGGTTCTTGGTTGTCGGGTTTCACCACGCCTGCAGATGTCGCTGCTGTTTGATTTTAATTTTAATAATACAAAATGTATGGGTTTTTAATGATTTAATTTGCTGGTTTGATTACTCACCGATGAGCGCGAAAATGGCGGAAATCTTGAACATTTCTTAGCTGGAAAAAATCAACTTTGAGTAAGCAGGATTGCTTTTTTTTTAGTGTATCTACTTACAGGAGTTTTGTTGGTTCGGTTCGTGTAGGATTTTAGATGTTGAACTGAATTTAATTGTCGATGGTGGATAAATTTATAGCGAAATTTCGATGGGAAATCGCGTTTGGAAGGGATCCGAGCGTGCCTTCTAGATCGAATTCGATGAAATTGGTAAAACACGTTCGACTATTATCGATCGAGTAGGCATGAAATTTGTTTCGTTTTATTATAATTATTTTCTTATGCCATATATAATTTTAACGGTGTATTTTTCAATTGTAACATGTTTTTTTTTTTGATATTAAATACATTTAGTCTGTAATCAGCACTCTTTTTTAACCCTAATTGATCGTTTAAGAGTTTCTTTCATTTGATAGTTTTACATTGGTTGTTATGGAAGTAACTATGGACTTTGTTAATCTTAAAGAGACCATTTTAAACGATTGATTAGCGTTAAAAAAGAAGCGCTGAATCGAAATTAGCGATTTATTTTTCAAATTAAACCATCACCGGTGATCGAATGTAACTTATTTGTCCATTTAACGCTTTTATTTCGACCGCAAATTTTCGTTTTGTTATCTAAACGCTTCATTATCGTTCCCTTTACTTATTCGCTTCGAAAGCGTCGTGTTGGCGAATTTTTATACACTTTCTCGCGCACTTTTTTTTCTTCTTAGCTTCATTTTTAGTTTTTTTTTTTCTTCTTCTTCTAACGGAAAGAATCGTGTCGAGATTTTCCACTCGAAATCGCAAAACGAATTCGCGAGATTTGTCATGACTCGCAAAAATTACAAATAGCCAATTTTTACGAATTATAACGGATTGGTTTTCAAACGAGCTTGTCAAACGTCAATTTATCAGTATAGCCAAATTAAATTTTACGTCATCAGTTACCTCGCCTACTAGTTTTTTTAGAGAAGAATCTTTTGAATTGAATAAATTTCGAGTTTATTTACAAAATAGTCTTGATTGTAATTGCTCGTTATCTAACCGAAGGCTGAAAATTGTTTTTGTTTTATCTGTTTGCGGTGTAATTACAATAATTTTGAATTTTTTTCTTAATAAATAAGCGATTTCGATTTTTGCTGGTACATTTTCTGATCGGCATTTATTTGCAATACATGTTAGGAAATCGATTTATCTCTGTATACTTTACTCTTATAATAATTGTTGCATTAATAAAATATTATGAGTTGTGCAATAAAATCGAAAGAAATTAAATTGCTTTCACTCGAATTGTAATTACACCCTCCATTTATTTTTTTATGAAAAAAAAGGGTTTAATGTTTAGATGAAGAAATATAAAACGCAACGATATCGATTCAATATACATTTTTTTTATTTCATCTATGTATAATTACAGTTATTTACTACACAATAATTTTTACAAAATAATTAGTATGTACAAAACATTTATTTATATGGTAACTAAAATCTACCTTTCCGAGTATTTTTGAATCGTATTTGGAATTCAACAAATTATCACAGAAATTACGTTAACAATTACAAGAAAAAAATAAATACCCCCATAATTTAACGTATTATTTTTAAACGTGTCAAATTTCCACGAGTTTGACAAACTGTCAAACCTGGACAAGTTTGACAACTGTCATATCCAAAAAATTGACAAAAAGTCTTATCTGTCACAAATCTGACAAATTTGACAAGCTTTCATGAACCAAATAAGTTTGACTAGCTGAGAAATTTATCGAAAATTAGATTGTCAAATTAGACGAGCTCTCATATCCAAAAAAAACTGACGCACCTGTCAAAAATCTGCCAATATGTCAAAAAATGGACAATGTATCATATGAAAAAATCTGACATACTGTCAAATCTGTCAACATTTGCACAATCTGTCATATAATGGAAAAACCTGACAAGCCGTCAAATCTGTCAACTTTGATTGAGGGTATCATCTGACAGCGACGCCATTGATGGTTACCCCGTTGGTCCTTCCGACGGGTTCGGGTTCGTATTCCCCGCTACTCCTTCGTCCCGTTTCCTCGTAGGGGGCGTCGTAGACGTTTTCGTCGCCGCCTCCGTTGATGTTCTCGTAGACATTTCCGCATCCTCCGTTTCGATCTGTCAACGTCGAATAACTCATCACCGCTGCGCTTCTGTCTTCTTTGCGTTCGGCGCCTTCTACGTTTTCCGTGTTTTTTACGGCGACGGGTTTTCTCCTGTGGAGAGGGAGTGGGGGAGGGAGGTTAGAATGAGGTTATGTGTGGGGGGGTTGTACTTACAGTTTGAGGTAAATCAGTCCGAGTAGTAGGAGGAGAAAGAGGACGATTCCAGCGCCTATGCCGATGTGGGTGGTCATGTTGGAGGCGTCTTGTGGGGCTTCGGAGAATGCTGGAATTGAAATGGTTTGAATTTAGGGAGGAGTGAGTCGAATCTAGTGAGAAATGTGTCAAATCTAGTGAGAAATCGATCAAATCTAGTGAGTAAGTACCTTTGCAAGTGGGAGTTTCACCGGACCATTCTCCTGATTCCATGCACTTCCTCAAATATGGTCCGACCCTTACGAAATTCGGTACGCAATGGTACTCGATGGCGCTGTTGTAAGTAGTACCGTTCACCGCTAAAACTCTACCGTTCTCTATATCTTCCGGTTGATGACAATCTACAGCTGTAATCAAACATTTTTATAAGTGAATCACAAGAAAATACTAGTACAATAGTACCAAATGCAGTAGTACTGTTATTTACCAATGCATAAAGGTGGATTTCCGCTCCATTCTCCTCGTTTCAAACAAACCCTAGTATCGTTCCCTTCCATAGTATGTCCTCGAGGACATTGGTACTTCACCAAGCCTCCTACGCTGTAAGTGTTGACAGTTACAATCAATCCATTCGGAGCTTCCGGTTCTTTGCATTGGATTTCTGAAACAGCGAAACAATCCACACAAACGTACATTTTTATACGTACAGAATTATACAGGACGTACCTCTGCAACTCGGCGTATCCGAACTCCAAGTACCGTTCTCCTGGCACAGCCTCCTCGACACCCCGTTCAATTCGTAATTCTCCCTGCAAGCGTACAGCGCAAGTACTCCGTAGTACGTCACGTTCGAAGGTAACATCACGTTGCCGTGTTCGATGGGTTCCGGAGTACCGCAATCGACGTCTGGAGGAAAAAAAATGGTACCGAATACATTTTCGTGGAAAAGTAGAAGGGTAGGAGAAAAGACCCGGTACTGGAATGGAAAAAAGTCGAGTGGTACTATGTGAGGTACTACTTACAGACGCATTCCGGCACGTTGCCGCTCCACCTGCCGTCGTCTTCGCACGTCCTCAACGGTTCCCCGACGATTTTGTAGCCTCTTTCGCAGCGGTACTTCAACAGGGCGCCGATTTTGTACGAAGTACCCGAGTTGGTAGACTCCTGGGTTCTGATGAGAGTTCTACCGTACAATCGATCGTTGCCGGTCACCGATAGTATCCCGTGTTCGGCCAAAGTCGGTTCCGGGCAGCGGATTTCTACGGAAAAAACGCGATTTAGTGAAAGTACCGGACGAGAAAGAGGGCGGAGTACCTTCGCATTTCGGTGCTACATCGCTCCATTGCTTGTTATCCAAGCAGGTCCTTTTCGAGACGCCGTTGAGCTTGAAATTTTTGTAACAACTGTACGAAATTTCGCTATTCAAGTAGGTGGTACCGTTTACGTATGACGTTTCGCCGTTTTGAAGTTCCGCCACTTTGCCACAATCGATGACTGCAATTAAAACGGATGCATTACACGGTAGATACTTCGTAATTGTGTTACTTACATTCACAAGTAGGGGTAGTACCCGACCATTCGCCGTTACTGTTACAAGTATGCGTAGAATCACCGAGGAGAATATGACCGACTTCGCAGTGGTACTCGATCGCCGAATGAACGTTGAAATCGTACCCGACCACGTAACTTCCCGCAGGTACTTCGGGTTCCTCGCACGTGATCACTGCAATCGCACCGATATTAGGTACTACTTATAAAAACTAAAGTACTGCTTAGATGTATTTACGTTCGCAAGATGGCGCATCGGCCGACCATTTGCCCTCCCTGGTGCATTTCTGTTGCTTCTGGCCGGTCATCCAGTAATCCGCTATGCAAGAGTACTCGACCAGACTCTCCACGGTGGTGGTACCGTTGAGTAGTTCGTATTTCCCGTTATCTATGTGGGCGGGGGAGCCGCAATCCACGTACTTGCACGTCGGCGCTTTTCCCGACCATTCGCCGCCCAATCGACAGGATAAAATCTGGAAAATCCGAATGTTATTCACTGTTTGGTACTCGTCGAGCGTAGAGTGAAGTACTCGAGCAAAGGTAGACTTTCCAGGAACGAAATAGAGCTATCGGAGACGAAGAAAACCATACGGAACAAACGAGTACACCTTTCTGAAGCAATAAACGAACCTTCCAGACTCAACACAGACCTTCTAGGTGCAAACAAAACTATCCAGAACTAATATAGACCTTCCTGAAGCATAAACGAACCTTCCACACTTTACACATACCTTTTAAGAGCAAGGAGAACCATCTAGAGTGACCACATTCTATTCAGGAGCATACAAAACTATCCAGAACCAACCTAGACATTTCCGAAGCAATTGTAAATCTTCTACCAACTCCCTACATCTTCCTCATGCAGCACCAACCATCCAACAACCTCTCGAAGTACCGAACCTCCTCTACATATTTACCTGTTCCCCTATGGTAATATGACCCGTATGACATCGATAAGTCGCCGTATCGCCGGCCCTTCTGCCGCTCGACGAGACGCCGCCCCCCTGGATGGGCGGCGGTTCCGGACACCAATCGAACAGACAACGAGGCGCCTCTTCGGTCCATCTCCCGTCGCCCGAACACCTTCTGATCTCGCGTCCGATCAGCGTGTAGTTCTCGTGACAGGTGTACGACGCCTCGGCGCCGTACCACGTGGTACCACCATCGCGGATCTCCACGGTACCGTGCGGGATGTCCTCCAGAGGGCCGCAGTTCACGTCTGTTTACACAAACAAAGTATATTTGATGAGCTGATGAGGATACCAAGTGTCCGAAATCGAGTGCTGCATTCGGTGTTTCTACTGATTGCAGCGTTCGATTTTGGACGCGTGGTATAGAGGTGGTTTACTGACATTTGCAAGCCGGTGCTGATCCGGTCCAGAGGCCGTTGGTACCGCATTTCCTGGTGCTGTCGCCGACTAACATATGTCCTGGTGGGCATCGGTACTCTATGGTGGATCCGATGTCGTTGTTGTAGTTGATGATGGTGGTGTTGGCGAGTTTATCGGGGCTACCGCACGAGAAGGGACCTGGAAATAGTCCATTGTACAAGATGAGTAAGTGTAATTGGTAAGCGAAAGTTTTACCATGTTGGCAAATCCAATGACAGTAATCCAAGTTGCAACCGACATCGTTCCACAACCATTGTCTACCGCCGTCCAATACAGCGCAATTTTGTTCACCATTGTAGTTATTGGGTTGGTCTTTACCCCACGAAGGCCTCTGCACCAATTCCCCTGCAATCGACTATTTAGTACAAAACTCTTTCGAACTAATAGAAGAGAAGTTATACCGTCGACCCATTTCCATGTTCTGGACACCACGCTGGGTTCCTTTTGGGCGCCGATCCACACGAATTGCGTGCGCATCTTGGACTTTCTCCTGTCCAGCTCGGAGTGGATGAAGATGTTGTCCGATGGGGAGATGGAGTGCACCAGGTCCCCGTATTGGTTCCTGCAGGTGGTTCGAGCGTCGGCGAACGAGCCGCCTTTGGCGGTTTCGAATTTGTAGCAGGTTTGCCTGAAAGTGGCCAGTTCGGTCTCGTCCGGCGAGTTCTTCGGTACGCATCGGTCGATGGAGAATTCTGCAAGGGAGATGGATTTAGTTAGCATCAAGTAGGTTTTGATTCTTCGACAGGTAGGGGGTTTATGGAGAATTCTGTGAAGAAGGTATGTTTGGTAAGCGTCAAGTAGGTTTTGAAATGGGCTGGTTGGTCGTGTTGGTGAAGGCCCGAAGAGAAAATTAAAGAGTTTTATTTTGTTTTTTTTGTAATGGGTAATTTTAGTAATTAGGGTGTTACGAAATGATTGTTAATTAAATAAAATGATACGAATTTGATTCGTAATTTCTCATTTTTTTTATTTAATTACCGTCATTCCCGAGCGGGTTTTGTTCGGGTAGAAAAAATTTCTAATGGTAAATATTTAACGGTGATGTTACGAAAACGATGAAAGCGATAATAATAATAATAATGCACCAATAAATCCAATTAAATTGATATAATATAAAAAAGTAGTTTTGCAAAAAAATGCACATTTTGTGACGTCATGTACCAGATGACTAGATCCCGATAACACTATAACATGCCATCAGTAGTGCCGATTTTGGACCACTTATTGTGTGTTCTATAGAACTAGCAAAAGATTTCAGTGGTCCAGAAACGATCCAAAAAACCTTTTTAATATTATTTTTTTAACCAAATAAAAAAATCGACTTACCATCGGCGGAAAAGACCTCAACTTCGCACAAAGACAACGACCCTTCCACCCCCACCAACTGTAGAAAAACATGCTGACCAACCAGCACTCTAGCGCACACCAAAGTCTTCGAAACACCTTCATCTGCAAAACACCAATAAAAAAACCCCATCAAAATCGAGCCAAAAACCAATCTCGCTTCATCACCGATGATGGTAAACTGCTATTTAAGCAGACAGGTATTTGTAATAGCAGTTGAAAGCTGCAGTTTCCTAAAAACCCAACCCATCTCTACAGTTGAAAGCTGTTGAAAGCAATCGAATGCTGCTTTACTTCAAACAACAGTAATCAAACAGCAGTTTACTAAAAAAAACCCAACCCACATCTCTACTTCCTTCATCATTCATCTCCTACTTACCGATAGTACCAGGAAACCAAGCGCACAACGGGTTCTTCTGCAAATCCCCGCTGCTGTTACCCACCCGCACCTCCAAATCCTGCAAAGGCTGATGTCCGCAGCATCCTCTCGTCGTGATCCGGATGGCTTTGACCGCATAGGGCTTCAATAGATCGACCTGCCACCAGGGGCTCGTCTCCTTCTGCGTCTCCGAGCACCTTTTGCCGTCGTGCTCGGTGCTCTTGTCGCCGTCGTTGGCGTTTAGAGCTGAGCCGCCCTTCACGGTGGTCGATTGATTGGCCGGACGTCTGAAGGCCACGTTCACGCCTGGAAATTTACCGATTGGTTTATTGGGATCCGTTCACCAGGTCCAGATTAGATGTATTAGGTCTACTGGATGGGTCCTAACTGGCCCGCTTGGACCTCTTTGGAGGGATCTAGTAGATCTTGGTCCTCTCTGAAGGGATCTATTAGATCTTGGTTCTCTCTGGAGGAATCTAGTAGATCTAATATATCGAGAAGATGGGTCTATTAGGTCCACTAGGTCCTCTAGATGGATCTTTTCGGCCTACTAGATTGACAAGATGGGTTTATTAGGCCCACTAGGTCCTCTGGAGGAATCTATTAGGTCTACTGAGGTCTATTAAGTCCACTAGGTCCTTGAGATGGATCTTTTCGACCTACTAGATTGATAAGACGGGTCTGCTAGGCCCACCAGGTGCTCCTTGGTGGAGGTTTTAGGGGCCCTTCTTACCGCAAAAAGGAGGTTCCCCTATCCATTTTCCGGCCGGCGAGCAGGTGGCTTTGGTGTCTCCGAAGGTCTCGTAGCCTTCGTCGCATTGGTAAGAGGCCACGGTACCCACTTGAGGTTCGGGGGTGCTCAAGGTCACCCTGGAGTTGAGCGGCACCGCCGGATGGTTGCATTTCGTACCTGAAAAAAAAAAGAAGAAAAATTCGTAGGGAGGAATTCGAAATAATATGTGAAATTTCGCGATGTTGCCATGCGGTGAATTTTTCTTGGGCTTTTAGGGAAGTTACTTGATTAGTAACAATATGTTGCGATGTTGCCATGTTGTCGCCCTTTTCTTGGCGTTTGGGGTAATAAATTGGTTTGGATATATTTGATTGTAACGGTGTTGCCGCGTCCTTGCATTTTTCATGAGTTCTAGTGATGAAAAACGTTGCGGTGTTGCCACGTTATGACTTTTTTTCACGAGTTCTAGGTAAAGAAATTAGAACTGGTCGGGTCGATTAAGGACGATATTTAATCTAGTTTAAATGGCGGTTGTTGTTCGATACAAAACGTCGCATTCTAGGTTGTAATCGGATCGAATATGTGTCGCGTTCCACTTTTTACTAGCATATAAAACAAAAAAAATTATAAAGAGATTTATAACGGCTTTATTATCGTCATTATCGCGTTTCTCTCTCTCTATTTCATGGATCTTTTTGTTGTCTTGGGAATGTCCCATTGAATTGCAAATAAAATGGAGAAATTCTTTTTTTTGTTGTTCGATTGCACTTACGCTCACACGCGCGTTCGTTTTAATAATTAGAAATTAAGTGAGAGCTGTCGATAAATTAATTGCATTTCTATGTATTTAATTTATAATAATAATGTTTACATCAGCGACACAAAAAAAACTAGATAAACAGAAGCGGAAAAGCCGATGAAAATTCGGATGAAATATTCAACTTTTAATTAGCATAATTATCGATACTTTCTAATTACTTTTTAGCGATTAAAATGATGCTTGTTTGACATTTTTAAAATGGCCTGGAACTCGGAGGATAAGCAGCGAATTGTTCCGCAATTCGCGGTGAGAACTAATTACAGGTATGTGCTGTGTAGATTGAGACAGAACGAATATAACGAGAATGAGATTGTCAAGGACAAAAAACGGTAAATAAAACGAAAAACCCACGATGGCTGTGAAACGGTGAACCGGTCGATTTATTTTCGATGGATCGGTGTCACAACGGAATCTACAAACGAGATCTATAATGTTGCATTATAGGGCGTTATCGAATTTATTTCGCTCTAAAATCGCTATAAAATCGCTCTAAAATCGCTCCAAAACTGCTGTAAAATCCCTTGAATAATTTCAGACACAGTTCTAAATGGTTTTGAACTGTTTTGAATCGTCTTGAAGCGTTCTAAAATGGTTCCGAACAGTTCTGAACGATCCTGGAGCGTTCTAAGTTGTTTTAGACAGTTCTAAAATTAAAATACATATTCTAGATAGTTCTTGAATGGTTAGAATTACCCCGAATACATCCCTGTCGTTTCGGTTGCATTAAACCACAGGACCGTATCGAGGAACATTCGTTGTTACTTATTTTTTATTTATTATTATTAATTTACGAAAGCGAACTATCCATTTTGTAAGCAACCGGTTAAATCACGAATTCACCGAGCATATATAAATTTAACCTTTTCGCAAATGCCCGGCGGTGGATTTTACTTGTAAAAGTAAAAAAATTATTGTTATAATACCGACTAGTTGCAGTTTTGCTCTCCAAATAAAAGTAGGTTGTTGATCTTTGAAAATGTCGAACAATTTTAACAAGACAATCGATACAGTGCGTTGAAAATATACTAGCGTGACGTCATCGCTATGTTAACTTGATCCTAATATGTATATGCGAAACAATCGTAATAATAAAGGAGTTTATTATATTTTTTTCTGACCTTGTGTGAGGTCCTATTTAGTTGTTGCCTCGTCTATAAAGTATTACAGGTGTGGTTTTATAAGAAATAAACTAAGAAATAAACTTGGGTGAGATATATCTTGATCTAGACAAGGTCGGTCGATTAATTAGAATATATGCATATTTTTTTTCTTGTTGTAATTTAATAAAATTTATCCCACAAGATATTTAAGTGGATTCGGCCGGTAAAATTAGATGAAAATGAAGGTTAAAAGTAATTAACAATATACAGGTAATTAATTAACACAAAAAGCCATTTGCATTATTATTACAAACGGATCCATTTAGAATGAAATGGTAAAAGACAAAGGAACAATCGGTGTGAATTCCAATTTCGTTTTTAGCATTTTTCCGTTGGAATTTGGAACGGGAATTTTATCTAATTTCACTTAATTTTTACACGAAATACATTCTTTTTTCTATTATACGACTAGTGGGGGGATTTAGATGAAACACTCTGTATATATTTAAACATTTTTTCTACGAAACAATATAGAAGGAACGTTTCTAGCTCGATTTAAGTTCGAGATAATTGAAATAACTTGAAAATCGAGCGATTTACGCAAATTTTCTATTCTTCAAAAATTGTAGAAAAACGTTTTTCACATAAAACAAAGTAAATAGGATGTTTCTAGGTCAATTCGTTTTCGAGATAATCGAAATTTTGTATCTAATTGCACGAAAATTAGCAATTTCGAAATGACCCTTGAAAAACTCAAAATATCTCGAAAACTATTCAATTTAAGCAAATTTTCTATCTTCCAAAATTCGTAGAGAAACCTTTTTTCTACAAAACCAAACAAACAGAACTTTTCTATCTCAATTTGTTTTCGAGTTTATTCAAGTTGTACTGAATGTATTTTATACTACTATGTATAAACACAAGAAATATTTTTTCTTGGTGTGATTGTAACAGTTTAACTGTTTAAAAAAATGACCCATTCTTCGTAATTCGCTGAAGAACGTGTGCTTATTAAATCCGTAAAATCGCTTGTAACAATTATATTTTTTACAATAGATAATTTTTTGTTGTATACCGAGTGTTAGGAAACGCCACGTCCGTGACATAATCTCGCGTAAATTGAACCGTTTTTTCCATACATTTTCCCTTTTTTTTTCAGTGTAATTCAAACGCTATACTAGAAAAAATGCTTCGTGAAGTTTTTCGTAAATTTGCTTATCAAATCCACTTTTTAGAAACAACAGGAGTAGTTTTCTACTAAAGTCTGAATTATTCCCGATTCTTTTCGATAAATTATTCCTACTATAGTCTAAATTATTCCCGATACACACAAAAAACAATCACTTTCTCTACCGATAAATTATTACAAAATGAATCTACATAAATTTCGCTTTACTGTCCAAAATTCGCTTCAAATACTCTATGCTTATATAAATTCGAAACCTCTCTTCACTTTCACCTCCCATTACATTTTTTTTGTCAACAATTCCAAACGAAATAATATCACTTAATTAGAAGTTCAATTTACGTTTGTTAATTGAATCAAATTCACCACCATTAATAAATAAGGAGGCTGTGAAAGCAATTAACAATAATAATTCTATAATACATTAATAATTTCTATCATGTTTAAAATATACAAGGAACTGAGGAACTTTTCGTAGTATTTACCTCTCTTATTTTCCAGAATATTAAAAAATGTTACTTGAAAAAGTTGTTTAGAATTAAAAGATCTACAAAAAGTATCAACTTATAAGACACTCTGTATTATGATAAGATCATCAAAGCTTATTTTCTCTTGCGTAACGTCCAGTTGACCACTTTGTTTCCGGTTCTTTATTATTTTCTACACGAATAAAATTATTATACTGGTCTTTCTTAACGAAATAAAAAAAAAAGTGTAATAGTGTTCCGAATGACTGACAAAAGGCCGTTTTTGTTTCTCAACAACTACTCGCTCAACAGACCATTTAATGCATACAGAATTTAAATCCACCCTAATTCTATGCATGTTCAAATGCGAAATAAATAAATACAGGGTGTTAATTAATAAATTTGGGAATTATCCTAAATACAGTACTGTTTTTAAATGGAGTGTATGAGACAGAGGAGTATTAAGGAAAATTGCTACAAAATTAAATGTTTGAAAAAGTTGTAATTTCTCGAATATGGGGCGGTATACGAAAATTTTCGTTTCTTAAAAAATTGTAGGGAAATTATTTTTCTGCAAAATGAAATAAACTCGGTGTTTCTATCTTGCTTTGGTTTCGAGATAATCGAGTTATTATGTACTAGAATTAGCAATTTCGAAATGACTCTTGAAAAACTCGAAATATCTCGAAAAGGGGACAATTTACGAATATTTTCGATTCTTTAAAAATTGTAGAAAAACGTGTTTTACATAAAACAAAGTAAATAATATGTGTCTAGCTCAATTCGTTTTCGAGATAATTAAAATCCCCCCTAAACAAACTTTAACATCCTGTATCTCCAAAACGAGGCATTTGCGAACATATCTTTACATATCAAAATATCATTATTTTCATACAGAATCACCCCCTGAAGTTTACCGCACTTATTAACAAACACCCTGTATAAAAAAACGCGCTATATTGTAACATTTATAAACTCGAAACCATCAGAACTCGACTCCGGAGAAAACGAAAGGTTATACTAAAAAAAAATATTTACCTTGAGCGTTCGTTCGCACGACGATTAATCCCAAGGAATAAACCACTAACGCGAATTTCATCTCCATTATCGAGGAAACTCCGGATCGTTAAACGTGGAAAACGCGCTGGAAAATCTCGCTTTTTCACATAATATACACACGAATTGTTTCGCTGTCAAATCCCCGCTAAACAGAGAAACCTGTTCGCTTGTCCGCGAACCGTGAAAGAATGAAAGTTTGTGTTGTAAATGTAAATTGTAAGAACAAAAACGGTGGAAACGGCACGGAGAAGAACCGGCCCGAAGAACAAGAACGAGAACGAAGAACTGAGAACTAACTAAGAAACCTACGAAGAAGAGGGAAGCCTGTTAGAGGTAACGGTCCGGTTGATTCGAGTGGTATAATTTTCAAGTTTCGGTTGTAAAATGTCTTTAAGATGGGCGTTGGGCGAGTGGGCGCGGTGCTGGGTCGATTACCTGGAGGGATTCGGTTGCCTAAATTTGGGTAATTCTTTGGAAGATTGGGTCCTTGGTGTTGCTGGGTCCGTTTCGGTGTGATTCGATGGAAAAGTTGAATTATCTCGAGAATAAATTGAGGTAGATAGGTGGGGTTTGGTTTGTTTGGTGGGAAAAAGGTTTTTCTGCGATTTTTAAAGGATGGGAAATTTGCGGAAATTGGCCGGTTTTCGAGATATTTTGAGTTTTTCAAGAGGCATTTCCAAATTGCTAATTTTCGTGCAATTAGATACAAAATTTCGATTATCTCGAAAACGAATTGAGTTAGAAACATCCTATTTACTTTGTTTTATGTAAAAAACGTTTTTCTACAATTTTTAAAGAATCGTAAATGTTCATACATTGTCCAGTTTTCGAGATATTTCGAGTTTTTCAACAGTCATTTCGAAATTGCTAATTATAGTGTATAATAACTCGATTATCTCGAAACCAAAGCAAGATAGAAACCCCGAACTTATTTCACTTTACAAAAAAATAATTGCCCTACAATTTTGTAAGTAACAAAATTTTTCGTATATCGCCTCTTATTCGAGATATTACACCTTTTTTAAACATTTAATTTCGTAGCAATTTCTCTTAATATTCAAAAATAAAAAAAATAAATTTCTCCAATCCATCTTTTATTTATCCACGAAATATACTATGCAAAAAACATAAATTCCTTCTTTTAAACCCAACTGTAGTTCATAATCTCATTAATAGATGGCGTATAAAAAATTTACTGTTCCATACTCAGTCACAAAACATTAAACTACTTAGGCAACACATTATACAGCTTGATAGGATATGAATTATTCATAAAAAACCCATCGTTTTTAATATTCTTAAGTCAACTAAAAATATACATCGATTTTTAGAACTCAAACTAGTATTTTCCATTTTTTCTCGTTTGAAAAATTCGAATTTCCACGCCTAATTTTCCTCGATTAAACATACAAAACGATCGTAATCAACAGGCGAAAAATGCGAATATTCCAAAACGCGCATCAATTACAATCCCGTCGTTTTCGAAATTCGAAACGCCTGCGAAAATTGAAATATTTTCCGCGCGACCGTGGTGGTGAAAAACGGCTTTTCATTCGGGAATATCCGCTTGAATTTTCAAGGGAATGTGCCGTTTGGGATCCTCCGGATCGAATTTTCTCTCCGTACAAACACACACACACGCGGAGCGAGAGAGGGCCCGGAGTATTCCGGGAAATTCGCATTTCCACAACAAAACTATAGATATATACACGGAGAAGGGAAAACAATGTAAATTCGCAAAGGGTGTTTATACGAAAGACGGGTATATTTCGCTGGAAAAGAAAAAAAAATGAGCTAATGAAACTGTTTACAGCCTTTAAACTTTAAACCTTCATCATCGAATGGGGGGGAAAATGCTTGGAATTACCCCCCGTCTCTTCAATTTACCTTCGATTTTTCCAATATAGTCCCAAGTATCTTCCAAAGTAGATCCAGAATAGATTCATAGAGGACATTCAGAGTAGAATCAGTGCCGATTTAGAGTAGTTTCAGATTAATTTTAGAGTAGATTCAGAGTATAGTAGAATAAGTACAAATTTGTTTGCAATATATTCCATGAATCGAACAAAGATATTGACAAAGAACAAAAATAACAGTTGGTTAGAGTGAGACAGTTGAAATCTCCCCACAATATCGCTCTCTCTTTATCATTTATATGTGATTAATGGAAACTGTCTTTGTTCCACCTGTATGTTTATATGAAATAAATCCATTTTGCGTACAAAAATTCTAATTCAAATCGGAGCAGAGTGTTCCGTTCGTTCTAATTTTTATTTCGAGCGAGAAACGAGTAATGAAAATATCCGTTAAATAAGAAATTCCTGTTACTTAGTTTTTTTCTGTTATGTTCTGCTGTGTTTTCTAGCAAATTCTTCGCTTGAAAACGAAAATAATCACGCCAATATCGATATAACAAGTTCCCCCGCAACTTTCAACTTCCAAAACCGCCATTTTGCAATCAACAAAACATCGATTGACAGATCGAGCTGTCAACGTCAAAGAACGAAAAAAAAAATCGATTGTCGGCGGAAAAAAAAATCGATTCCGTCTTCGAATTTTCGTCGTTCGTCCTTTTTTTCGCATCGGGCGCCAGTCGTTGGGGGACCCCGACGATCGGGGCCCCCCAACGACGGTCGAACCTACTTCGAAGTACTCGAAGTAGCCTCGTGTAACTTAAAAATATCGCCGTGCGTAACCGAATCGATACGAGCTCGGCGAATCACGATCGGACGCTGCATCGCGTCGCCGAATTCCTACCTTTACAAGGTAACTCCCTATTTCTTTTTTTTTTTAATAGTCGAAAGAATTTGTATAGGGATTGAGTATTTTGAATTGTTAGTTATACGAAATCGAAAGTTTGTTGTATTGTTGACGTTATATAGGGAAGTTTGGTTTTGGATTTTGTGTTTATGGATACGTTTTTTTTGTTGGTTTTGGTTGATTTAAATTGATTAATTTTAAAGGGATTGTAAGTAAGAGACTTGTAACGCTGTGTAGGTTCAAAATTTACGCTACTGGCGATTAAAAAAAAGACACTTTGGTTACAACGTTGCCAGTTTGTTATAAATAGATATATCTTTCTCTCTCCTACTCATTAGAAATTTTCAAAACAATAATAATCCACAAGTATATGGGATTTATCATAGTAGCATTTAGTTTGTTAACGAAGCTTTAATTCGTTAGTAATTTATATCAATCTAATACAGGAATACATCGAAACAACTCGAAAAAAAAAAATCGCGCTACCCTTCCGCCCGCGCCGCGTCCACGCGATGCAGTCCCCCACCCGAAGTCACGTGGTGCGCACGTCAACCAATAGCGCCACAATCGCTCCGGCCGCCGAAGCGACTCGCAACGCTCCGCGACCAGTACCGAACGAACCGTCGAACGGCCAACACCGCGCCCGCTCTACCATGGCGTTTCTCACGCGAGAAACATCGAAGTGAACTAAAAAAAAAAACTAAAACCAACCGAGATTCTCGCGCGCGGAGGGCGTCGCGACCGAAAAAGAAAAATGATGGAGGACCCGGCCCAAGTGCTGTTCACCGAGCTGCCGGTGCCGCTGCTGTCGACGGCCGCCCTGCTGCGGCACCACCACAACCGGTACCAGCCGTACCACCTGCCGCACCGCTTCCACATACAGGAGTTCATCGAGCGGCGGCCGCCCGTCCGCGATCACCACCAACACCAACACCAAACGGAAATCGATGGTGATGGAGACGGAGGCGGTTCGACGCACGTTTCGAGCCTCTATCCGGAGATATTGGCGATCATCTTCGGACATTTGGACGTGAGGGATAAGGGCAAGGTGGCGCAGGTGTGTACGAGTTGGCGCGACGCGGCTTATAGGAAGAGCGTGTGGCGCGGCGTCGAAGCTAAATTGCATTTGAGACGGGCGAATCCGTCGTTGTTCGCTTCGTTGGTGCGCAGGGGGATTAAAAGAGTGCAAGTGCTTAGTTTGAGGAGATCTTTGCGGGATGTGATACAAGGTATGTTTTGAGTTTTTTGTTTTGTTTATGGTTTATTTGTTTGGGATGAAATCAGTTGGCTATATAAGTTTTAGGGAGGAAGTAGAAAAAATGTTTGGAATATGACAGGCGATTAAATGTCATTTTTAACGAAATGTCGGGGTTTTAACGGATTTCGTGCCTACTAGATTTTTATAGTTTAATAATGTTGTGTAACAGCGAGAATTTCTAAAGTTATTTTTCGTGAAAAAGGTAAAAATTAAGAGAATTTTATTTAAGAGAAGCTTAGAATATCACAGAAACTTAAATAAGTAGGAAAGTTCAAAATATGACAGGAAAATTAAATGTCATTTTTAACGAAATGTCGGATTTTTGACAGATTTCGTGCCTACTAGATTTTTAGAGTTTAATAATGTTGTGTAACTGAAGTGAAAACGGTAAAAGTTAATTTTTGGGTGTTTTTGAAGGAATAAGTTGTCTATAACTTTGGGAGTAAGTAGAAAAAATCAAAATATGACGGGAAATTAAATGTCGCTTTAACGAAATGTCGAATTTTTAACAGATTTCGTGCCTACTAGATTTTTAAAGATGTCTACTTTCACATAAAATAGATATTTTTTGGTTAAGAAACTTTCAAAGTTCGCTGGAAAATTAGATCGAGCGTTGCAGATAACTAAAAAAGGGCTGTCGTAAATACAGGGTGTTTCTGAAATAAGTGGTCAAACTTTAGGAGCAAGTAGAAAAGTTCGAAATATGATAGGAAATTAAATGTCGTTTTAACAAAATGTCGGGTTTTTGACAGATTTCGTGCCTACTAGATTTTTATAGTTTAATAATGTGTAACGGATTTTTAACAGAATGTAACAGAAAACTAAAAAAGGCTGTCGTAAATACAGGATGTTTCTGAAGTAAGTTTATAACTTTGAGAGCAAGTAGAGAAGCTTTGAATATGAGAGAAACTTATATGTCATTTTAACGAAATGTCAAGTTGTTGAAAGAATTCATTCCTACAACCTACTAGATTTTTAAAACTTGATACAATTAATTGCGACATGTCACCTTCCTCGTGTTCTTATCTACTTTCACATAAAATAGTTATTTTTTGGATTAAGAAACATTCAAAGTTCGCTAGAAAATTAGATCACGCGTTGCAGAAAACTGAAAAAAGGCTGTCGTAAATACAGGGTGTTTCTGAAGTAAGTGGTCAAACTTTATTAGCAAGTAGATAACCTCAAAATATGACAGAAACTAACATGTTAAAAGGTTTAAATATTTCAATAAAAGCAATATAGATTCATAATTTGAGCTAGATATCTCAAAAACTGCAGGATCTAAAAACTAAAAAAGAACCTTTTTGAACCCACGTTTATATAAACTTTTAATCATAAAATTCACCCCCTTTCGGATGTACACGATATTTAGGAACACCCTGTATATTTCCTTCTATCAACTATTATGCATATTATAATTATTTATAAGCGTTGTTGGTTGAAAATAAAAAATAAGATTGTTAATTTGCAAGGTGATTTGCGAGTATCGAAGACGGCCGTGAAAATTGTTGCGTAGTTTTTAAAATTGACATTGACGGTTGAATAGGAGAACGTTCGTTTGTCAAGATGGGTTGATTGCCTTAATGGTTAAAGTCCGCATGTGGACTACTTGATTTGTTTTTTTTTATTTATTTATTTATTTTTTTCGAAGGGATATGTCATTTTTGGGTATTTATCTTTTGGCGGTCGAAATATCAATTTTTTGGAATTTATTTAAGTTATTTTTAATTGCTGTAATAATTTCGTTTCGATTCAGAACAACAGAATTTTTCGAATATTATTTAAAGTGTTCCGGGAAATTTATAATTACCGATTTTTAATTTGTTTTTTATTTTAATTATTTGCAATTATTGCACGAGAAGTGATAATATTGTAAAATTGTAGACGACAATTAACGAACATTAAAATAAAAAAAAACAATTTATCGAATTCTCTATTTTAGAGCCGGAGATTGTCGAGTTATCGTTAAAACTTTAAATATTTTCCTCTCGAGATATCTTGATGGTTAAATACAAATATTTTCGTTGCAATTACGATTATTTTCGACTCGATTCTCTTAAAAATAATAGGAAAATTGTTCCATTTGAATTCAAATCTTATTATACAGGGTGTCCCGCTTAAAAACACACACAGGATCCTAAAAATTTATAACTACACTGTACACGACTCTATTATTTAGCGTTTTTCATCGAAACGGCAAAGAATTTTGAAAAAACTAAAAGAACAAAAAAGTTTTAAAACGAAATTACCTATAAAACGAGCTAATAATTTTTTAAATCGTCCGTCAGATAAAAGAGTTATGTAACATTTTAAATGAGCGATACATCGATAATTGTTCTCGAATTTATAACTTATCAAATATGTTTTTGGGCTGCTTCATACGCGGGGACACCCTGTATATTTTATATGGGAAACGTACCAGAATAGCAGTTTAATTTTTTTTTAATTGGCCGAGATGTTTACTCATTTTCTCGGAATACTGGCATTGTCAATCAACGTTGTCGTAGTTTATAAAAAAAAATAAAACTGAAATTTACATGGAATTTCCGTAACCGCATGGCGTTTGTTTGTGTTAAATTAAATAAAAAAAAGCAAAGGATGCGCTGGTTTGCGATGACGTAATTTCTTTAAATATTTTTAATTACTCGCTTACTTTAAAAAAAAAGTTGGTATTTTTTTTTTAAATTCATAAATGTTTTATATGTGGAAGAAACTGGTTTTGGAAAATGCACTTTCCTGCCTCTAATAATGGCCGTAAATTATCGTTTATTATTTTATAATTAATGAAAGTTCATTTTCTATGAATATATTAAAATCGCCCCGCTTCCTGGGAACTCTCTTTTTATTTGCCTTTGCTTCAATTTCGCTCGTTTAAATAAATTAAATCGAGAAAAAGTAGTGGTAGGCTAGAAATCGGAATTTTTCGAATATGTTTTACTAATTAAATAAATATTGCATGGTTTTAAATGAAACTAAAGATTTAAAAGCGAAGAAAAGTTGTCTTTTTAGTGTATTTACAAATCCAAAATTATTTCTACTTCGTTTGGGTTCATTTTAATCATTTTAAAGGACTAAAAAAGCCAGAAACTATATCCTTTACAAAAAAATGTAGAATTTAGTATATGACTATTGAATAGTTACACTAAAAAAACTTGCATTATTTATTTTATACCCCATCGATTCCATCGCTCAAAAAAAAGGTAAAGAAATAGAAATTACCAACGAATGATCGTCTATTTTAAATTTTTATTACTTACATTAAGAAAAACGTCCTTTTTAATTTCTGGAGTACTTTTGAGTCCCTTTTTGAATCATTTATTGTTAATTTTCTTCTAGCTACACTAAGAAAAATGCCTTCTCTGTATTCTAGTCTACTTTTAACCCGCTTTTTGATTCATTTGACGTTAATTCTCTTATAGCTACACTAAGAAAAATACTTTCTCCGTATTCTAGCCTGCTTTAACACCTCTTTTCGAATCATTCAGCGTTAATTTTCGCACAGCTACACTAAGAAAAAACCGTTTTCCTTATACTGTTAACGTCAATTTTTAAATATTTTTCTCATCTTTTTTTCGACAGGCATCCCGAACCTGGAATCCCTAAACCTAAGCGGTTGCTACAACGTTGCCGACGTCGGTATATCGCACGCCTTCGTCTCCGATTGCCCGTCGTTGACCCAACTCAATTTGTCGTTGTGCAAACAGGTGACAGATAATTCGTTGAGTCGCATCGCCCAATATTTGAAGAACTTGGAGGTGCTCGAATTGGGCGGTTGTTGTAACGTCACCAATACCGGGCTGGTGTTGATCGCCTGGGGACTGAAGAAGTTGAAGAGACTGAATTTGAGGAGTTGCTGGCACGTCAGCGATCAGGGTATCGGGCATTTAGCGTTAGGGAATCAATCGTTGGAGTATTTAGGTGAGTTTTTATTGAATTTTTTTTATTTTATTTTTTTTTTTTTTACCTTTCTTGATTGGTTATTTATTGGAGTAAGTGCGCCCGTGTATGGACCGCTTTTTTTTAACGATGAAAAGTCGAATTTTGAATTTTAATCGGCTTTATTTATGTATATTAAAACAATTCCTTAACCGTTTAGTTAAGAAAAACTCACAATTTCTCTACAAAAAAACACAAAATCTTTGAAATAAACAACATTGTCTAAAGTATATTCATTTTTATGAACTTTCAGAAAGTGAATAAAATATGGACCCATTTCTAGAATATATTTAACTTATTCATATTCCAATTTATTCGGTAATATTGATTGTCTTTCAAGTTTTTGGGTGGTGATATCATTAAGTGATTTTTTTTTTATTAAATTCTTTTTAATATACCGGTTGTCCAAATCACAAGACCTGTTCATATTTAGCGCACTTACTCTACTTGTATTAACGCAATGAAATGATGATGATGATGAAAGAAATAAAAAAAATGGTTAACGTTTCATCCATATTCAAAAAACGAACTCTGCGTGTGCGTTTCTGTTTCTGATGAATAATGCATCAGTAAATACGGTGTAGTGTAGACCGTTGTGAAATAGAAGGCCATGCACTGCAGCGTGTAAAATAATTCCATCGCCATGTTGGAAATTGATCGGGGGGCCGCAATAAATTCACGATACATCTGTTTCGAAGCTTTCGAAAAAAATATATATATTCTACATATAACTAACGTTAAATATATCAGCCGGTTTAGGTTATACATAGAACTTTTAAAATTTCGCAATTTTAGTTTGTCAGTACCAATTTTTCTTAGTGTTTCTCTTAGTGCCTACTGTGCATTAGTTATATCCCAATACCTGGAGAATTTTATCTTTAGAAACAGTTCCCAAAGCTTTTCTAGAGCATCCTCGAGGATCTTATTAATTCAAGACTTCCAAAGAATCTCATCACTTCCTGAAGAATTTTACACTTAATGCCAGGTCCTATAAAACCCAGAACTTGCATAGAGTATTCTCAAGAATCATACTACTTTCTGAAGACTTTACATGCCTTAGCAGCAGTTTTTATGAAATCTATACCTTATCCGGAGCATCCTCGAGGAACCTACCACTCCTGAAGACTTGTCCTGCTTTAGCGACAGTTCTTACATGAAGTCTAGAGCGTCCTCAAGAGTCCCAATACTATCTGAAGACTTTAAATGCACAAACACCAGTTCAAATGAAAACCATATCTTCTATTGAGCTGCCCTAAGAATCCCACTACTTCCTGAAGACTTTACATGCCTTAGCACAAGTTCCTATGAAGTTTATAACTAATATCCGGAGCATCCTCGAGGTACCTACCACTCCTCGAAGACTTGTCCTGCTTTACCAACAGTTCCCGTACGAAACCTACACTCCCACCACGTCCCGAAGAGACCTTTACCACCCCAACCGTAGAGCTTAGCGCCGAGCGAACAGAACTGAGCCCGTTTCTCTATTGTCTCCAGGACTCCAGGACTGCCAAAGACTGTCCGACGAGGCGCTGAAGCACGCCACCGGCCTCACCTCGTTGAAATCCATCAACCTATCGTTTTGCATCAGCATCACCGACAGCGGCCTCAAACACCTCGCCAAGATGTCGAACCTGCGCGAGCTCAACCTGCGCTCCTGCGACAACATCTCCGACATCGGCATGGCCTATTTGGCGGAAGGCGGATCGCGAATTTCCTCGTTGGATGTTTCGTTTTGCGATAAAATCGGCGACCAAGCGCTCGCCCACATCTCGCAAGGTTTGTTCAATTTGAGGAGTCTGTCGTTGAGCGCCTGCCAAATCAGCGACGACGGTTTGGCGAAGATCGCCAGTACTTTGCACGATTTGGAGACGTTGAATATAGGGCAGTGTAGCAGGGTGACCGATAAAGGTTTGGCGAACGTCGCGGAATCGTTGGTGAGATTGAAGTGCATCGATTTGTACGGTTGCACGAGGATAACGACTGTGGGTTTGGAGAAGGTGATGAAGTTGCCGCAATTGGGCGTGTTGAATCTCGGATTGTGGCACGTTAGGTGAAACGCGTTCCGGTGGTTTAGGTAGATATGATTGAAAAAAAATTATTGATTTTTTTTTTTTTTTGTAATGGCGTTATTGTTGGTGTATTTGTAAGATGTGACATAGGGATTTCTGTATAAATGTGTCAAAAGTAAGGTAACTATTTTTTTAACAAATAACGTTCGTATAAAATGATGACAGATTTGAAAAGATCGTCGAAAAGTAAGTCGAAATGGATGTTAAATTTTATTAAATTCGTTCTGGTTTAATTAAAAAATGTATAATTAAGTTGAAAAAAGTCAAATATCACTATCTAATAATTGTTAAAAGTGGCAGAGATTTTCTTATTTTCTTTGGCATTTTTTTTAATGTTGTTTTTTTGTCAAGAATAAAAATAATGCATTATTTTAAAGGCTCTACCTAATAACGAGATTTTGCGTTATTAAAATTGACAATTAATTGTCGGAGATTTTATTTAAATAAAAATATAATTATATCTCAAATAAGCTCGTCTTACTTTAAATATTTCTATATTAACATTTTTTAGTCAAAAATATTAGAAAAAACCAAAAAAAAATGCCTTTTACTGCGCTAACTTCGCCAATTTGACAATTATTAAATAGTGACATATGACATATGATTTTTTTTCAACTTAATTATACATTTTTTCATAAAACGAGAATGAATTTAATCCAATTTAATGTCTATTTCGACTTATTTTTCGACGATCTTTTCAAATCTGTCATTATTTTTTACGAACGTTATTTGGTAAAAATAAGTTAGCTTACTTTTGATACATTTGTACAGGAATCCCTATGTCACATTTTATAAATAACACAGTGTACAGTGTGGCGCGAAAAGTTGTGTGTACGAATTTGGGGAGATGTTTGTCTTATATTTCGCGAGGAAATCAGGTATAACATGTTTATAAAATTGCGTTGAATACAGGGAAAAACATATAGAAGAATGGTTTGGATCGAGGGAAAAATATGCAGGACGAGAATTGTATTTTTTTGGTAAACTTTTTCTTCGTTTGTATATACAACTTTTTGGGACACTGTGTATATATATTTTTTTTTCAAATTCGAACATCCGACGGGAAAGTGTTTTATGTGCGAAACGTGTTGTTTTGTTTTGGTTTTTTTTTTGTATCGAACTTTCTTGGGATGAATTTTTTCGATTGACATTCCGAAAAATATTCCTTATTTTTTGACATGATTGGAAAAATTGTGTTTTTTGGGGTTTTTGTTTTTCTAGTGGATGCGCATTTTGAGCTGTGATAGATTAAAAAGAAAAAACGAATGACGTAAACAGTTAGATTAAGATGATGATAATTTTTTTAACGTTTAAGATTGTTACATTTGGCATCGATTGTATCTAAATGAGAAAATAATAATAATTAACGAGCGAAGATACCTTGAAATGTCGATTAATTTGAATTAATTTTCGCATAAATTCTTGATAATTTTTTTTTCGAAGAGTGTGCGACTATAAAAAAAATTAAATCAACGATTTTGGTAAAGTTTTGATAATAGGTTTTTGAAAAGAGATTCTATTAGCTAATAAAAATTGAAGAAAACAATCATTTAATAAATTTTTAAACACTTACCGGCGCTATTTAAGGGATTTTTTATATTCGTTAAATTTCGTTAACACATCCTAAAGTATTGGCATTCAATTAATTAATACCCTGTATATATTCATTTCGAATTAACCGGTAACAAATTAGAAACAGTTTGGTATATTTTAATTTACTGTTAACTGAAAATCGCAATTACAATTCAATCCGCCGAAACAAACTTGAGGTTTCTATTTTTTTCCTTTATTTTTTTAACGTTAAATAACGTAACGTATCGTTACGTAAATCGAATTTAAAACGTTAACTGTTAGAGTATTTTTTTCGGTGATTATTTCCGCGAAATTTCGAAAAAATCGATTACAAGGGGAAACGAATTTGTTGTGTACCTCTATACGGGGTGCGTACGAAATGTTTTTAAATTTTTTTTTTGTTCATTTAGATACCAATCGGTGTCATTTCGACCTGAAATTACAGTAAATCAACCCAATTGATTGACCAAAGGTAAATTAAATAATGCCGCAATTCGATTCTCTCTCGGGTGGCATTTTTAAATTCGAATATCGAATAGAAAAACGGGGAAAAAATTTTCAATAAACAACGTTTCGGTAAATGTGATAAATACGAAAAAATCGAAAATCGACTGAACAAAATTTCTGTCGTAAATACGAGAAAATAAAGTTTAAACGAAATTTAAAAATGCTTCCGATTTCTCCTAATCGTCTAGTTAGGTTTCGAAAATATTAATTAAAAAAAATGGCCATTTTTGTGTTCAAAATATCATTTTCCGGAAATGTCCGAGAAGCGAATTGTACAAACCGATCTTGGATAAATTCCAGAAAATTATTGTATAAATTTATTATCGAATGTTAGTTTTTTTTTTTTGAAAAAATAATCGGATCGTTCGAACGTTTGTTTTTTAATAGCCGTTATCATGCAATTTTTGCCACTATACAGGGTGTTCGAAAAAATAGACAAACGGAAAAGATACAAGAATGTTAAATAAAAAAATATATTAATATTTACTCGATTCTGTTGAAATTTGGGAATGTTTTTTTGTTGAATTACGAAGCTAATTTAGCCCTTAAATTTGTTTAATGCTAAATATACAACAAAATAACATTCCCAAAATTCAACAGAATCGGGTAAATATTTATTTTATTTTTTAACAAAAAAATCGCCCTATTTTCGCTCTACTTTTCGAACGTCCTGTATATTAGCAGATACGTTGAATAATTTCCGAAATGTGATAAGGCGTTCAACAATCATTTAAAAAGGTATTTTTAATGTTTGTAAACATCGGCCGACACGAAAATATTTCATTATCTTTTTTTTTTTTCGCTTTTAACGACTCCCCGATAAGATTGAGAATATTTTTTAATTCAATAGAGATATCGAAAAACAAACTATGCGAAAAGTACATAACATAACATACCTAACACATTATTGTTTTTCTATTCGATGATATATTTTTTTGATTCATATACAGGGTGGCCCAAGGAAAAGTAGTCCCTTTATAGCGATACAAAAATTATGCATTACGAATACAGGGTGTTTGATTAAAATCTCCTCTTTTAAATTCGCAGTAACCAAACATTTTTAAATGGAACACCCCGTATATATACAGAGGTATTTCGAAAGATAAATGTATTATTTGTACAAAAGAAGATGTCCTATAATGTTTCATAACATTTGGTTAATGCGAATTTAAATGAGGAGATTTTTACACCCTGTACAGGCGATAAAATAATGGGCTACTTTTCATTGGGACACCCTGTATAATGTGATTTGTTCCTTCCATATACGTATTTTTTGTTTAACGAATTAGATGTAAATTTGTACAATTGGGAGTTGATGTCTTGTATCAAAAATTTGGTGAAATATCGAGGAAGATTTCGAATTTTAAACATCACATTTTTATGGATTAAAAATATTTTTTTTGAGATTATACATCAGTTTATTGGGTGAAATTTATCATATTTAGTGCCATATATCAATTCCCCCTATGCATCGAATTCACTTCAATTTTTGATGAAGACTTTAACCGAAATTTTTGCGACAAAAACTAGGAAAAAAATGTATTATTATTATTATTTTTTTTGTACGAATAATTGTTGTTCATCGACGGCCATGTAATGATTTTTTTTTCTCTTTCGATTCGTTCGAAGCCCCCCGGCCTCCCCCCATTATTTTTTCTATCTATTTTGGAAAATTAATTTCGTTTGTATAAATAAAAAAAAAAGAAAATATTGTACAGTGATATTAAAATGTATATAAACGTGAAGTTATCAATATTTGTTACTATTACGTTATGTTTTTATAAATTGAACAAATTTAAACTTAATACAATTTTTATTGAATAATCTCGACTCGTTTTATTTCCCACTTTCACACACAATTACAGGATTAATTATTCCTTTTTTGGTTTTTTTTTCTATTCTCTTTCAGATTAGATTGAAAACTACTTTAACAATATTTAAAGAAGTTTATTTGTATTTTTTAAAGGATCAACTGCTTTGGGTGCTCCAATACTATAGAGGCCTTTAAAGTTGAAAATTTATAACTCAATTTTAAGTTTTATTTCCATTATTATACAAGGGAACAAAATATAATTTTTTAGTGGTTTATTACCTACAATTACAACGATTTATATGAAGTTGTACCCTTATTTTGATGTCATCTATACACCCGAATTATTGACATATATTTTCCGAACACCCTGTATATACGCCGTATAATTCATCCTTTATTATTCGTTCTTTCGCTCCGTCTCTTCTTCTCGCACATCGCCCGAATCGATGGGAACTTGGAAGACTTTGAAGACATTTTCTTGTGTTCTGTGTTCTGTTTTTCGGTGCGATGGGGCAGGTCGAAAAATACCGAAACCGTCTTGGGAGAATGAGGATCGCTCGGAACCGGTTTCGTGTGTGTGTGTTTGTCGTGAATAGGGTGGATCAGGTTTAGGTGATGGCTGGACGAATTTCGATTCGATTCGATTTGTATAAGAAGGAATAGATGGAGGGTTTGGTGTATCCGCGGGTGTATGGGGAAATTGAGGGTGGTTTGGCAACGTTGTATGAGGGGTGTTGTGTATGGGTGGGTTGATTAGGGGGTTTTGGTGGGATGTTTTGGGTTTTGAGAAAGTTGTGGAGAATTAGTTTTGGGAGAAAATGAGGGGTTTCTATCTGGATTAGTTTTTTTAGTTGTTTGCATCAGTAAAATGAGTGATTTCGAAAGAGTCGATAAAAAATTGAAATATTTCGAAAATTAAGCGGTTTTCGAAAATTTTTGATTCTTTAAAAATTGTAGAGGAATGTTTTTTCTATAAAATGAGTAAGCATGATGTTTCTATCTCGATTAGTTTTCGAGATAATTATACTTGTTTGTCGGTTTGCACTAAAATGAGTGATTTCGAAACAGTCCATACAAAAATTGAAATATTTCGAAAACTAAGCGATTTTCGAAAAATTTTTATTCCCCAAAAATTGTAGAGGAATGTATTTTCTAT